CTGGGACGCAGCGAGGACGACGTGCTTGATGGCGAGCGTTGAGCTCGTAGTACGGTCCCCGGGTGCTAAAGAGGCGCAGCGTCCGGCGCATCGCGCGCACGATTGGACCGCCGCACGACGAATGCTTGGTCGTGGGTATCGGCGGTCGGACGAGCCAGATGCACATGCGTACAAGTTGCAGGCAATGCAGAAGCGCGATCGCAGCGTAGACAGCGACGGTCACCGTCACGGGCTGCAGCAGTTTGAGCACGCGCACGTAGTTGTAGCCGCCCGTGGCGTGCTGGAGGTACTGGTGGGCATACGTCATCGTGACGGCAAATCCGCACGTGGCCATGTGCATTAGAAGCACGAGGCACCAGAGAACGATGTGAACGTCGCGCGTGGTGCGACGACAAGGCGCGACCTTGAGCGCAGTCGCCATCGTACGACTGAGAAAGGCCGACGGCACGTCCTAAAATTACAGGTCGCCGGTTGTTCGAGAGCGGTTACAGCTCTCGGTGAACGGACAAGGTGCCACGTCATGAAACTGTCCAAGAATGCAATCCTACGCCAATTTCAAGACAGGTTGTTGTCCGAGATGCACATGACAGTTTTACAATTGGACAATATGACAAATGTAAAATTGGAAATTCGACAATTCGACAAATAGACAGCGATATCACATTACACACGAGGCGCATTTACATGACCGCTACGATGGGAGCGGCGATTTTGGCGAGGTTGACAAGCCGAGTGGCGTCGCATCGCTGGCGAGGCAGCGTGTCCGCAACAAAGATCAGACCCACGACAGCTTGAACGGTCGACGAGCTATAGATGGGCGCCGAGGCATAGAAGCGAAGGTACGGCGGCCCACGCACGAACGGGTGGGAAGCGTAGCCGTCGCGCGGCGCGTTTAAGAGCACAATGACGTCGTCGAGCGCGTCCTGGCCAAGCATGCTCTCGGCCTCAAACCTCTCGACGTGCCACCCGTTGCGTGCTTGGACCGTGAGCATCCCGCGCGTTCTGTCGAGGCGCGCAACGATCGCAATGGGGCAGTTGTACGCACTGCGTGCGAGCGCCACGAGAATGTCGAGGCGCTCTTCCCGCTGGGTCTCGAGCTCGTCGTAGGCAGCGAGGGTGCAGACGTCCGGGCGATCCGTTGCCAACGGGCTTGCGGCATTTGCCTCGAGCACGATGCGTGGTGGAAGCCGCAACGTACCAGTAAACTGGAGGTTGGCGTCTGGGTAGTAGTACGGCCGGTTGGCGCCGCTCGAGAGCTCAATGCGCGCCTCGGTACTTGCGATCGACTTGCGTCGTCCGCGGAAGGTGCGGAAGAAGCAGTCTTTACAGACACGCGCATGCAGCGCTGTCGCGTCGGCGCGTTGCTTTCGGGCACTTGGACGCTCGACCGAGACGCGCTCGGTACACGCGCCGCAGATGACGCTAGCACACTAGATCGCTATCGTCCATGAGATGCTCTTGGCACGAGCGAAACGTACCAAGTGGCAGACGTGCGGGTGTCGAAAGCCAGTAAACGCTTTGGCGCAGACAGCGCAGTCGTCGCTGTGACGCCAAGCGACGTCTTTAATCGGGCGCGAGAGGCGGTCGACCACCGAGGCTTCGACGCCAGCACGCACAATGCTCACGGGCAACGCCATGGCCGAGGCAGAGCGTCAGATGCAAAATGACCGACACCGCGTCGTGTCGTCGTCGGTGCTAATCCCGTAGACAGGCCATGATGACGGTGCAGAGACACGAGCAGAAAGAGCGCGCACCTCGGGTATCGTTCCGCGTCCCACTTGAGACGCGGAGAGCGCAACTCGTTGGCGACGACAAACGACAGGGCTCTCGGAGGCTGCCACGAGGCATTCGTTGTTGATGACGTCATACTATTAGTATTGCGATCTTCCACAGACAAACGACGCCGCCGACGAGTAAGAGCGACGGCGTGCTGGATGCGTGTAGCAGTCACGAACTCTTCATTTATGCTCAAGCGCACCCTCCGATTCCAGGAGCGAGGCTTGATGACATCCGAGCATTTTACGTGTGGCATTATATTCCGCTTGCGCAAAGACCATTAGTGGGCGCTGCTGGACGCCGCATTGCGTCGGCGTGCTCTTGCAGGATGCGCTCGAGCGCTTGAGCGAGCTGCACGAGGTCGGTCGCGTCGCAAAAAGGCCGCACGTGCGTGTCGGCGACCATGACGGTGCCGACAACGTGCCCGGTAACGCAAACCGGCGCACTGGCCAAGAACCGAAAGCTCGCGGGGCCCGTCACAAGCGGGTTCTGACGAAAGCGGTCGTCGAGCGTCGCGTCGAGGACCACGAGCGGCGCCGTCGACGCAATGGCGTGGGCGCAGAGTGCCACGTCACGCGAGATCTCCGACTGCTTGAGACCGACGCGCGCTTTGAACCACTGCCGCTTGGCATCGAGAAAGGTGACGCCGGCAATCGGGCACGCATACGCCTTTGCGGCGAGGGCGCAGAGCACGTCGTAGATCTCGGATGGCGGTGTGTCGAGAAGGCGCAGATCGTGGAGCACGCGCACCCGCTGGCCTTCGTGGACCACCATCGGTGGCGGGCACCAATGGTACGGCCACGCCCGCTTCTTGGGCGTAGTAGACTGTCGCCGCGGCGACTCGAAGGCGGACTTGCGCGTTGGGCGCTGGGGTGGTCGTGCGTTTGTACGCGGCTGGTACAGGCGCCGCGTCGACAGGTCAGGCAGCTCAATCGAGGCTGTCTCCCGGGGCTTGACGGGCACTGTCTCTGGCGGCGATGCACGATTGTCTGCTCGCTCTGGCGCGTTGAAGTAGGTGTGGTGACAATCGGTGCAGACGCGCACGTGCAGGGTGCAGCTGTTGTTGGAATGCTGCTCGATAACGAGGTGCTGGCGACACGAGACACAGACCACTTCACCACACTATCACAAAGCGTAAGCATCATTAGCCTAGATGAATGGAAGCGTCGTACCATGTAGCAGTTGCGCTTCTTCCAAAAGAGCAGCAGTGACGCCTTGCAAGCGTGGCAGCGCGGGTGCACCCAGTGGTGCCGGTCCGCGAGGCGCGCCAGAACCGGTGGTGGCAGTGCGCAGTAGACGTGCGTGACGCTTGATCGACGCATGACGAATCAATTGTCGTTTGGTTCTCCGTGTGCTCGCATGGTTGCCGCAGCGACCGCGCGTTGACAGAGCCTGCGTCTGACCAGATCTCGCCATTGTTGTTGAAGTGGTATGTGCAATTAGAATTTAAAGACCTTTTAAAGGTTAATATCGCTTTCTATGAGAGTTAAAAGTGCGGGGATAGTAATAAAATAAGTCCTTGGTGGGGTCAAGTATCGAAGATCGGGGCTCTAAACCGTTTTAATATACGTACGTTCTTAAGTGCATTCAATTTCAATATGACAACCAGTGAAATGAATAACAATAGCATTGTATGAAAAACAATTGTCGCTGCAAGCCTTGCTCACAGGTAGACGGCGCCACGCCGTAATGGTCGCTGGCCCCACGGCTCCGATTACTGCCAACGACGACACCGCTCCGGCCATTGACGCGGCCGACGCTGCCCTCGATCTCATGGGTACCAGCGCTACAATGCATGGTGGTCAGTCGTCGTACAGTGCAGGCCTCGGATTTGCAACAACAGCACAAGGTGCGATCATTTGCGGGCGCAGGCAACAGGCCGCCACTGCTGCTTGCCACAGCGCCCGCATACCGGTACCGGTACTACACACCAACGCTGTCATGATGGTTGGAGCCGAAGTCTGCAAGGATGGCATCGAGCGGACAACCCGAACAAATCGCATTTAACTAGTAGCTCGCATTGGCTAGCCTAGGTTAGCCTTGGCCAGCAAGAGCATGCGTCGGCTTGACCCACCCAGGGCCATCTGCGCAGTCCATTTTGCATGGCTGCACATGGCATGGGCGTCGGTCTTGCGAGCAGGCCGGTCGACGCTGCCGGCGATGGAGCGACTGCCGCCGATTGTGGCCGCCATATCCGGAACTTGCCAAGGTTCCGCCGTTCGTGTATTTTATGCGCGACATTTTAATTACGATACCAATAGCAAGTGAAGTAGTACGAAAAAGGAATTGTAGAGGTAGAAAAGTGAATTTAATTGCATGCACGATCACATATTCTCGGTTGCTCCTTGGGACGCACACGACGCAGCCGGCCCCCCGACGTCCGTGTACAGCCCGACCACCTGCCCTTCCGACGACCAGCGACGAGACATGGCCCGCGACTAGTACGTACCGTCGTGATGTAGCCGAGGCTCAGCATGGCGTAGCGACCACCTCTTCAAGCTCGTGCTCATTGGCGACTCGGGCGTCGGCAAGTCGTGCCTCCTCCTGCGTTTCGCCGACGACGCGTTCACAGAGAGCTACATCACGACGATTGGCGTCGACTTTGTACGTCACGTGCGCGTTTCCATCGCTTATAGCGGGCTGTAGCGCTTCCGCACCGTCAAGATCGACAAGAAGACGGTCAAGTTGCAGATTGTATGTTGCCGACCCGTCGCGCCTCGAGCCTCACACCTCTCTGTAGTGGGACACGGCCGGTCAAGAGCGCTTCCGCACCATCACGAGCGCATACTACCGGGGCGCGGACGGTATCATCATGGTGTACGACGTGACGAGCCAAGTACGCGATTCTGGATGGCATGACCTTTCGCCGCTCATAGAGTGCTAGGAGTCTTTCGACCACGTGAACGACTGGCTTAATGAGGTTAACCGGTACGCGAGCGAGGGCACGTGCAAGCTCTTGGTCGGCAACAAGAGCGATATCACGAGCCGAAAAGTCGTGTCGTACGAGACGGCCAAGGCGTTTGCCGACAGCCTCGCGATTCCGTTCTTGGAGACAAGTGCGAAGAACGCCCAGAACGTCGAGGAAGCCTTCTTGACGATGGCCTCGGAGCTCATTACGATCCGCGAGCTTGTCGGGAATGCGCAAAACCCGCGTGGCACCCAGGTACATCTCGACGCCACCTCTCTCATCGCCCACAACCTCATCATAGCTCACAAACGACAACAAGCCGTCGTCGGGCTCGAGCAACTGCGGCTGCAATTAACGTGGTCCATCGCGACGACGACACCTGCATGTTGCGCCTTAGCTTTCATTTTGACCTTAAGTAATTGAGCCAAGTGCATCTTGGTAATCATGAAGCGGCGCCGCCCCTTCAAGCTCGCCGTGTTTGTTTTCGGCATGTATTTTTAAATGCGGCACGGATGCCACAAACAACACCCAGACGGTGGTTTGTTTGTGGCATACGTTTATTTTTATTATATATTTTTGCGGCTGGCATGTCGAACGCCAACAGCGAGAAGGACCGCGCGCTGCAGTCGATCCGTAGCCGCGCCGACCACCTCCGCCATACGATCACGCAGCTCGAGTCGCGCCTCGCGTGGTACCCGCTGACGCAATGGCCGTACTTTTTAAGCCAATTCCAGGTCATCTCCAAGCAGCTCGAAAACATCATGACGCTCAAGGACGACGAGGAGCTGCCCGAGAGCATGCACCACTTTGTGTGCATGCCCCGCATGTCGACGCCCAACCCCGCCGATATCCCGCTCTTGCTCCGGACGCGCGAAGACCCGGAGATGGAAAAGGCGGACGAAGAGCTCCTCGCGTCCGAGCGCGTGAACCCGCTCAAGCGTAAGGCCAGCTGGACGTGGGAAGAGCTCGAGGGCCAGAAGCTCGCGCACACAGACATGGTCGAGACACTCGAGAAGGCCTTTAAAGAGGCATCCGACGTGCTTCTTAAGGAGATCCGCGTCGGCAAGTTCCAGGAAAAGGTCAAGCCCGTGAGCACGCAAAGCTCCGTATACAAGTACATGGAGACTGGCCAATGGACCAACTAATGTAACACGACTCCTTTACGACAATGAAAGGAGATGCAAGCGCGTATGGTAATGTTACTGCTGCGGCTCGGTTTGCATCTTGTCCAAGATGGCCTTCATCTCGGCCGCATGCGTCGTGTTGACCGTCGCCTGGCGCTGGCGCACGCGTTGAAAGATGATTTCGGACACGCGGTCTTGCATGTCGGAGCACCAGCTCGCTGTCTTTTGGTACGCGACCGCCTGGTCGACCCAGTCGCGCAGGTTCTGCTCCCGGCGCTCGTCCGCCGGGTGCGTCGACATGAACTCGGGCACATCACCGTTCTCGCCCTTGAGCGCCTTCATGCCGCGCCAGACAGATGCCGCCTAGATGCAGCTCCGTGCCTTGTCCGATCCACGCAAGTTTACCTCGGTCGGGTCGTAGCAGGCGGCGGCCATGAGCATGAGCCCAATGTGGTCGGCCTCGCTCTCGTGCATGCGGCTGAACGGCAGCTGGAGTGCGTACTCGAAGAGCGTCGGGACGAACTTGTTGTCAAGGCCAAAGAGGGCGACCAGAATGAGGAGCGGGAGGAAGCTCAGCATCTCGGGGGTGTGCCTAGCAAAACGACAGTGAGGCGCTTGCGATAAGAGAGAGGACAAGAGAGACTTGGCGACGGCATGGCCAATCTCGTGGCCCACGACGGTGGCGAGCGCGTTGTACTTGTTCTTGCAGTGACCGTCCTCGACAAACTTGTCGATGGCGTTGAGGAGGCCCGTGTTGACAAAGATGATGCCACCTAGTGCGTTCTGCACATCGACATGTAGAAGGCAAGGCGTCGGTACCCGAGTAGCAGCACGCATTGACGTTCGGGTCGTCGATCAGAAACACCTTCCAGTCGTAGTTGGTCTGGAAGATCTTTTCGGCGACGACAACGAGCCGCCTACAGCGTCGTCGAGTCGAGTATATCGGAGATTATGAAGCGCGTACACGGCAACGTCCTTGACCATGCGGTAGCGCGGGCCGTCTTGGATGATGGTGACGCCCTTGATCGCTTCTTCGGCGTGCTCTGTGCCCATGGCCTACGATGCGCATGGGCTCAGACCACGTCGACGGCCATGGAAAGACGTACGATGATTTCGTCGTTGGAGAAGACGACGACTTGCGTCCGCCCCGAGATGGGCACCGTGTGCAGGTTCGTGAGGAATTGGTACGCGGCGGCGACCGAGCCGAGGCCAATGAGGCTCCACGCGGTCGTGAGGACGAGGCGAGCATGGAGCGGCGCATCGACTAGGACGCAGGATGAGATTGAGGCGTCATGACCGCGCGCACCTTGGGCCTGGTAGAAGGTCACGTCGCGTGGCTGTACGACGCGCACCGAGTAATTGCCAAAGGCTCGCGTCGGCTTGGCCGTCGCCTTGGTCGTCGCCCGGAGGAAGCGCGCTAGCATGCTCAAGAAAAGTCGGCAGATGCTGGCACGCGTTTGGATTGGCTGGTTTCAGCTGGCGTGTCGATCGAAATACCTTGGTGTTTGTATGTGGGCTGTTCCGCCAAAAATCAGCCAAAAATCAGAATTGTGACTGGAATTTGCAGGTTCCTCAAAAAAGTGCTTTGGCGAAACGTGCAAAACGGATGACTTGGATGTCAGACAAAGAAATATATGTAAGGAATCAATGTGAGTCTCACCGTGAACGATCCTCAAAAGTAGTCGTCGTGGGTGTACAGGTCCGCCTCGTTGAACTTGAGGCATTGGTCCGTCAGGACGTCGACGTCACACACCGCGCTCGTCTCATCAAAGAACTCGTCTTCCGTGTACATCTCGATCATGTCTTCGGCCACGAGCGAAAAGTGGTACACCGTCCGTGGCCCCCGCGCCCACTGCAAAACCAACGGGACGAGAAATTTCGCGCCGATGGCGGCGCCGGCGATTACAAAGCCGACACCGCCCGACGCGACGGTCGCGACGAGCTTTCCGTACCCGAGCGTGGCCGAGGTGTAAACAGCGATAGAGTTGGCGGCCGCAAACCCGCCGAGCGTGGCGCTAATTTGGATGCCAAAGTCGATGCACGGGTCAAGCTTGTACTCGGCGGCGGCATAGGCATTGACAAAGTACGCCGTCTCGACGACGAGCGACATAATCAAGAGGCCGTACGAGATGGCCTTGGCCAGCTTCCCGGGCGCCTTGACGACCATCTCTTGTTTCTTAATGGTGACGATGTCGTACTTGGTCGCACTCGTGACGCCCGGCCATTTGGCACTGCTTGAGGCATCGCAGAAGCGGTCGATGCCGAGGTGGTTGAGCGCGTCTTGGCCTATGAGCGTGCTACCAGGCGTCGGGACGCCGTACGCAGTAAAGTTTTTCATGCCTTGTATGTACACGACGTCTTTCGTGATGAAGAAGTCGACCTTGTATTCGGCGAGGATGGCGACCGTCCACTGGCTTGGGTCGGGGTATTGCGTGAGCAACTCCTTTGCGGCGGCTTTCGAGGCGGTGATGCCATATGCGCAAAATGCGTCCGCGGAAAAGAGCTTGGCGTTGGCTGCGCTCGGAACTCTGACACCGCCTTGGGCATAGTGGAACGCGTCCTTGGCCGGGAACGAGCTCACCGTTTTGCCTTTGGCCGCGAGCCGCTGCACCATGGCGAGAGGTGTCTGGTTAATGTGTCGGGCCGCGACGTGGGCGGGCCTGGCACCATACCCCGGCGCGGCTTGCGGCACTTTGCACACCTTCTTCCAGTCCATACAAGCAGAAAACAGAAATGGATTCCTGGTGGCAGTGTGCTTTCACGAGTTTTGATCGAATCAAACCTTTGGAAAATGATAGCAACGCCAACCTTCATGCATGACCAGCCACTCCGACAATCTCTCCGACTGCCTCGCCAGCACTAAAGGTGACGACGCACGGCAGAGATGAAGGTGGTTTGCTCATCGTGCTCCCGATCCTCTTGTAGTGCACATCTGCGAAGCTTATCTGTGGCACGTGGGCCCTGATGCGGATGATCGTGGCAAGCCTTGACGGCTTCCGGCAGCTGCGTCGTCTGCTAGGAATTTCTCACACGAACACGCTCAAGAATAATACTGCGACCCGCTGAGCGAGGTCGTTGCCCAACCACCTTCCCACCCGTGAAGGAAGACGTCGCTGTCGCCCGTTTTTTCGATCCGCCCCGAGCAACCCAATTTGGATCGCCCTGCGCCGCATGGACGCTCAACTGGATCTGGAATCGAGCTATCGACGACCCGTATCTTCTATCCACCATGGTCCATGGCCCATGGTATCCATACGATGGGAGTCATTGTCCATCACCCTACAATCACACTACAATCACAACCCCGAAATGATCGTTACAATCACCCGCCATACCGGTCCACCGCAACAATCGCCTGCAACCACGCAAAACTTCAACTTGCTCGGAAAACATCAAGACAGCTATTTTTGCTTCAGAAGGGCCTCAATCAGCTAGTTTAGGCTCGCCACGCGAGATATCGTTAGCATCGTACATGTACCGATACCACCGGTATGCAGAAGGACGCCTATGTCATCGAGTCAGAAAGAGCTCAAGGCAGCTCTACGTGCAGGTCAACATGTGGGTGAGACCAGTGCCTAAACCGCTTACGAGAAGTTCTCGCTCCCCGGCAAGCACTCGATTACTGCACCGACTACCCATCCACGTTCGCTGCTCCAACAAACGCGTTCAATTTCTTCATTCAAAGAAAATAGAGATGACATGCGTTCACCGGCACTTGCCGGTACTGTAGGCACTGGACGGGAAAGTGCCCGGTAAGTGCAGCAGGCTGTGGAAGCGCGTTCATTCCTCCAAGTCATTTCCAAAAACTCTTCCTATCCGACCAGCGACAAGATGGGCACCAGCCAGTCGTCCGAAGCCAACGGAGTCCTGTGCAGCTCGTGCAAGAACCCCTTGCCGCCTAACCAATACACCTTCTTCAACTGGCACAACTCCGTGTGCAACCTCTACGCCTTCTACGACGTCGCTGGCGACAAGAAGATCATCAAGTACGTCCGCATCGCCAACGAAGACAAATGCTACAACTGCGTCGCGTGCCTCCAAGAGCACAGACCGGTCGAGTTTGAGCAGCTTCGATTGCATGCGGCGGGTATCGCCACCCTCTACGGCGTGCAAGGCTGAGCTTGCTCGTTTGCCCCACATATCGACCCGTGCTACATGCAGTGTAATGGCGAATGCGAATATACGTAGGTCGCTTCACAGTAGAACTGATACGACAGCGATCGCTCGTAGCTTGGTCTTTACTAGGGTTTGGTGCGAGAACGATCTTTTTTTTCTCAATCAAGACAAAACTACTTGGGGGCAACAACCGTGTTGGTGTCCGCCATGCCTGTGGTGGGCGAGGCGGGTTAGCTATTTGACTGACGCTACCAATTTGGAGATGGCTCGAGCTCGTGTGCTCTGCGCTTCGATTTTGGATCTTGTAACGAATGCGATCTTGGAGCCGGATTTCTAGATCGTTCGTCCTTGCGCGGAAAACCTCTTCCACTGCTTGGAAACGGCCCTCCACGATCACGGGTACAGTAGTGCAGCAGGGTAGCATTTTTCTAGATGTAAACTCCAATTAAATCAAGTCGTCGCACCCACAAAGGCCGAGATCGTTCCGCGGGGGTACGGCATGACGAGCACAAAGGAGGAGGAAGTGACAGATACGGGGACAGCACACACATGTGGTACGAACGTTTGTTAGTTCAGGTTTGAAGTGGGTAAATGAACAGCATACATCAACTCTCGCAAGACAGATCAACTACAAGAGCATTGAGAGCCCGACAAAAACGAGCGACGCGGCGCCGGCAAAAATCTTGGATGCGCCCGACGGCTTGTTGGTGCTCGAGTCGCCGACAGCGTTGCTGCCAGACGCCGTCTTGTTCTTGGAGCCCGTTGTCGGCGACGTCGTTGGGGCAATCGTGATCACCGGGTCGCCCTGGCCCGCCGGGCAAATGGCCGTGCAGTTGAAGACCAGCTTGCCGGTCGAGTCGGGTTTGTTTTGCTGCTTGCAGCTGCTGCACGTGTGGCAGATCGACTGGACTTCGTTCCCGGCCGTGATCTGGGGCACGCACGCCAACGGCTCGCTGCAGACGCGCACGGGCGTATCGAGGGCTTTGAAGCCCGTGTCAGCACACTGCTTCCCGCCCGTGCACAGGCCAAACTGGGGCACTGTATCCGGGATGTTGGTCGCGTTCTGACAGTTGACGTCGGCCTTGGAGCAGCGGCACTGCTTCACCGAACCGTACGCCTGACACTCGAGCTGGAAACCGTTGAGCTTGCCGCACTGCGTCGACGACGCGCACGCGCTCGTGAATTGCAGAGGGCAGCTGGTCGTGTTGTCGGAGCTCTGTGCCGCAGCCGCAACAATAAGGGCGCCAAGGGCAAGGAGCTGCATCGGGCTGGAGTGGACGGTTGAGAAGTGAGACATCAACGGGAGAGCGCCAACCTCCTCGATGCATTTGTTCGAATTCGACCGTATCCTAGCTGCATGTGCCATTCGCTGTATGGCCTCGTTCTGTCGCCAAGGCCATAACTTCAGTCACTAAGCTTCAGTATTTGATGGCCGAGGACGCTCCCAGAAGAACGGTTGTATCCCCATCAACATGTGTGTCGCCGTCGGTTTCCGCATCATCTTCTGTGAAAATATTGAGGTGCTTGCATGATCCTTCTCTCCTTCGAGATTTGTCAATGGCTCTTTGTATGCTGCTTCGTTTGCACATTTTCTGTTCGTATGCTAGAGAACAACAGGATATCCTGCTTCAATCCTGTGGATTTGATATGATAACGCTGCTTCACCCAAGCTACTACGTCGGCGGTGGTCGAAATGTGAGTGCAAGCTAATAGCAGCGGACAAGGTAGCCGATCTTGGTCGAGTCCGAGGCAAGAGCTTTGCATGCGACGCTTCGTTCGCTTCGCACGAACAATGGTTCTTCGTCGCCGTCTGCAATCTCGTAACCGCCTGTCCACTTCAACATGACGTGGCGGCACAAGAATCCAGGATACGTTTTTGATACACAAACTTTTTTAAAATGCATGGCTGGTTAACGCACCGAACGATGAGTTCTCCTTTACTCGGTCTGCAATCGACTAGAACTCGTGTATCGGATTTACATCTGCGTCGCGGGGTGGGGGCTCGCGCACCACGTGATAAGGAGCGCTTCGTCCTTGCTGCAGCTCTTGGTGTGGATGTCATCGAACGGAAACAAGTAGGCCTCCGCGCATTTTTCCCACTGGCAGTTGAGCAGCTTGGGGCAGTTGTAGGCACCCACTGGCACCAAGTCCTGGCGCTCGACGCTCACAGCGACGTTAAAACCCTTGACCTTGCCGCCCTTGGAGCACTCTTCCCACGAGCGACCGTTGCCGCACTACAGAAGGATGAGTCTCGGCGTTGCATGCTGCCACATACGTCCGGCGGGATCACGCTAATGTCGTGCCAGAGCTTGCCATTGTCGCGCGAGGCCTCAAAGACTACAGAGTTTGTCGGTGAGACATCGATAAAAAGTTGTGAAGATCGTACGCGTAGCCTCGGGGGACCGGCCAATGCGGAACGTCGACCCGTCAAACTGGTCGCTTTGAACGTCGAAGGACGAGCCCGCGTCCATCCACTGGTAGTAGTCGCTGTGGGACTTGCCGCGACGGAACGTGTACATCATTTCGATGCGCTTGCCACAGTTGTTGTAGAAGCGGAGCGAGCCTTTGTTGAAGGGCGCCTTCGTCGTCGGCGCCGGCGTCGGGGCGGGCGTCGGCGCCGGCGTCGGGGCAGGCGTCGGGGCGGGCGTCGGCGCTGGTGTCGGTTCCGGCGTCGGTTCCGGAGTCGGCGACGGCGTCGGCACCTCGGTCGTCGGCTCAGGCGTGACCTCGGTCGTTTCGGTCAAGTTGTGGCTAATGAGCGTAAAGTTGCTGAGCGAGCCCGCGGTCAGATCCGAGTCCAAGTGGCCGTTGTCGACAGGCGTCAGGTTCTCGGACGTCGTCGTGCCGGTCGAGCCGACAGCGACTTCGCCCGGAACCGTAGGCGCTGGCGTGCTGTTGGCAACGTAGCCGCTGCTCGTATCAGCCGCCGACGTGCCCGAGCTAGCACCCACGACGACGCCGATGCAAGCGCCGACGACAAGGACACCGGCGCCCAAGAGCGTCAAAATCTTCTTGCGCTTGGCGAGCTGCTCGTTGAGCTCCTCTTCCGGATCCTTGTCGTCGCCGAAGCGCGGGTTCCACTCGGTGATGCGCTGCATGGCAGGCGTCGAGTCGGCGTCGGCCGGGACCGGCGTGATCGAGATGAGCGATGGGTCGCGCGCAGCAGTCATGACTGGTATTGTCAATAGTACAAGCAAGGGGACTTGTGAAATGCAGCATTACGCAAGGTACACTGCAGACGTCCGGTCTCGCCGTGTGTTACACGTCGTCTTTTCGTCTGGTATCCCATTAGCCAATCCGACGCATTGGTGTTCCAATCGAGTGATATGATTGGTGGAGCCTCGTCAAAAGCGGTCTGGATCGCGGCCAGCACCAGATTTCAAGAGTGGTAGAGGTCGGCGCCGAGGCGAGCGTTGAAAATACACTTGAGGTTTGTAGGCAACCGAGTGCAAAGGTGGGCCGTTCGAATTGGGCGTCACGTTGAAGTGATTTTTCTTCAATTGGACACGCCGGCGTCGTCGGGCGGCGGTTCGATCCTCGCTGCAGTCTCGGCAAGGTCATTGCTGTGCATTACCTGTACAATGTACACGTCCCGGTACGCCCAGAGAGAGGCACAAGATGCAGTTGTTCGCATGCCACCGAGGACGAAGCACAGAGATCCTACATGGATACCAGATACATGGAGTGCCTCGAAACGCGAGTGCAACGCAACAGTGTACATAGCTTCCATGGGTTGTAGCACGGATGCTACGCAGTCCGTCACCCTCGTGGTTGCCTAGGCTTACACATTTCACTCTGCAGTAGCGTTCCCGCTGGGCCACCAAAATGTCCTGTCACTACAGAAGGCGCTGCAATCGCGGCGCAAATCACTCTCGATACTTGAGGTCGATCGCGGCAGTCACGGCTGCCAAAGACTAGGCAACGCCGTCGACGTGCAAGACATGTAGAGGAGGCAATGGCTCGCGCACGCATCGCAAATGACTTCTCGGCAGAGACAATGGCAGAGTGGCGGATCAAGAAAGTATATACACCCGACAACCGAGGCCATGCGTGAATCTGCCAGCGCTGGCTACTTACTTTAAGAGCAGAAGGAGGGAGTTGAAGGTAGAGGATTTTTGATCATTTTATAGAGCGCTCGGTGCAGTCCTAGCGATCCACAATTGCAACAACGAGGGCGAAGGAGCTCCACCACCAGGTCGTTGTCGGTTGTCTTCTTCATTCCGTAGCTAATCGATGGTCACTGTACCTGCTTGGCGGTAAACACGATGGATCGCAAATGCCAGCTAAATGAAAAATGCCGTCGAACTAAGCAACCACCAAGTCGACGACGTGACCGTGCATCGCTCGACACAGAGGGCCTCGAACCGCTGCGCCTAGCTACACAAGCGGTAAAGGACGACAGGCTTCCCGTCAAAACCCAGATCCAGCATTCTTCTTCATGTCAGATCGCAATGAGCGTCGAATGAGTCGAGTGAATGGAAGAGCACGATACAATTGCATTGACACGGACACGCGTGCAACGTATAACGGTATCTGCGTATCCCAGGCGTTTGGCCTCGGCGCACCGTCCACTTCTACTAATACTCACGGCAGCAGTCGTAGCTGACAGTCTGCCCCGTCGTCGTTGGCATGGAGGTACTAATAGTACCAGCAGAGTACAGCGAGGCTACCATCGAGGGTAGCGTAGCTTGTTTGAAATACCGGTATCCGGATACGCCACCCCTAGCTGACGTGAAACCAAACACTCTAGGCTAGAAGAATAGCCTAAAAATCTAGCCCTTAGGCCTACGGTAAGGCCCTCGTGGCGGGGCGCTGCGACACCAGGAGCCGCGGCCAATGTTGTTGGTGTCACAATCACTTGTGGCGGTCGTAATACTCTGTGTAATGCGAGCATGGCGCAGCGCCTTGGCCGCTGGGCGAGCGTCGCCTGCCGTCACTCTGCCACTCGCCTTGCACCTCATATGCTCTGCGCAGCCCCGTGCTCGTTGCGATACCTCGATTGGCGCGTGGCTCTGAAGTCAGTGCCATAGAAACTACTTGCTCCAAGCCTCTTGAGACTCTGCCGTGCAGAGGCCTGCTTCCGCGCGTCGTGTGGCGGCAGCGAGGAGGTCGGAGTGCGAACATGCGACGTAACGCCATCGGGCCTTTCTGATCCGCCGCTCCGTCCTCCTCCGCTGCTATCGATCTGGCACGTCGGCGCGTCGGTGGGTATGAGGCCGGCAGGCTTCAATAAGAACGTGGCCCGCGCGATGGAAGACTTCTACGGAGGCGCGCGCCCTTTGACCTCACTTGTGGTAGGATTCTGGCGAGTGTCCATCTGGCCCTTGGTCGGGCGGCGGCAAATTTGTGCGTGGGTGTAGCGCCTCCATACAACCTTCAAGTGATTTTCCGCTCAGAACGCACCGTGTGGCTTGAATCTGCACCCATCTGGTCTTCCTCCCTGCCAGGCGTATACCGACCAGGTCCTTCTTCAGAGGTATTAAGATGATAGAAGAGCCAAGATCCGAATATAAATATTGACGGCTGCGCCTGGCTCGGGCAGCGGTTCGTCGACGACGACGACCACGCGTGCGCCCAAGACTGCTGCCCCCACGACGACGCCGGCTCCGTCGAGCGCGTCCACCCTCTTCGCGAGCGGCATTGTCGTCGCGGCCGTTGCCATCGCCCAACTCTGCTAAGAGTACATTTACATGAATCTATGTAACCACTAACTTCGACTATACGCTCCTCTGGGCTCCATCTAACCTCATCACACGGCCCTCACGCAGTAGAAGTCACTTGTTGGTGCCTCTGATAATGTAGTACACGAGCACGCTGATGCTGAACGTCAAGTGGAGCGTGATCGTGGTCAGAAAGAGGTAGAACCACTTGAGCGTGCGCTTTCCGATGCATTTACCGGTCCACGGGCAGTGATGGTCGAGCTACATAGATCGGCAATGAGTACTTGTCGACCACGCGTGTAATAGATACCCCGTCGATGCACACGTCACACTCGTAGCAGTGGACGGCGTCGGCAGGACGGCGAATGCGGCAGTGGGCTACAGCGCTGTGAGCTTATGAAGAAGGAAGACGACGAGGGCAGTGTACCGCAGAGCACGCCTTCGTCGCCACCGGCGGGATTGACATGGTCTTCGCGGATGATGCCGGGATCGCTGCACGCCACCATGGCAAACGAAATGAACGTGAGCACGACCGAGAGCACCAAGACGGCGATGACCCATGGCGCGATGTTGCGGTCGAGCGAGCAGATGAACGACGGCGCCAAGATGAGTGCAAATGTAAACGTCATGCATGGCCAGTTGGGCCCGACATGGCACACGCTCGGAAACGCAGTCGCCGTGGCACCGCGGTGGAAGAGGTAGTGGGTTTGGCCGGCGCTAAAGCAACAGCCGCCAGGCCGACGGTCGTCGAGGATGGCCACCGCATGGTCGTCGTCCGTCGGCACCGATGCGTCGTGTTCCTTCGGGGTCTGCAGCGCCATGAGGTCCGTCTCCATCGATCGACCGCGGCAACGGTCGGCAGCGTTTTTCGAAGTCAAAGTTCGTGAATCCAGCACGTGACAACAACCAAGGGACGCGTTAAAGTCACGTTAAACCCCGATACGCCATGTACCCACGCCATAACGCACGGCATGTAGGACACGTCCCTGCACAACCCAACGTCCGCGAGCTCCTTGGCGGCGCCAGCTCCAGCGGGCAAGACGATCCGACGACCGCACGCAGCAAGAATTCACCGCCGTCAAAGATACCAGCACCAGCAGCATGCGTGTACCCACGTGGCAGCACCGCGAGCAGCGATGGATTGGAGGTTGCGTTCACAGGATTTGTGTGACGGATGGCAGCACGCCCGGCGCCAGAGCTGCCCTTTCTCGGTATTCGCGTCCGCTGCAGGTCTTTGGGTAACCCTGTCCGGGGCTAGGACATTGACACGCCATTGAATACAATTGAGACGTCGTTCCGGAGCATCATATCTAGATGCTACCATTACTACACAGTCGCGGCGACGTGGCTCGTGAGCTGCGCGTGCAGCGAAAGCATCGTGGTCCGAATCGACTCGCATTGCTTGTTGAGCAGCTTGCGCTGGTCGCGAATGTCGGCTTTGCCCGTGACCAAGTCGGCTGTGATGATGCCATCGACGCCGTTGAACTGAAGCTTATCGAGGCTCCCGCACATTTGCGCGATCGCGTCCTTGGACTCGACGAGCTCCTTCTTTGGGACGTTCGCCGTCGCGTTGTGCACGGCGACTTGCCACTCGATCTCCTTGACGCGGCGCTCGAGCTTGGCGATCGCCAGCTGCAAGTTGTTAAGGCTCTGCAGGGCGGCCTCGCTCGCCGAGCTATAGGCACGGGTGCGGGATGGCATGCTGCGGCTGCTTCGTCGGCCGTCAACCTATTTTTGCCTTCAAACTTCGCGCCCGATAAAACTTCGACGTGGACACTTCGATAACCGTCTTCCGGTGTCCTTACCCGACTCGATTTCCGAAACCGTTTGTTTATAAGAGACAATCAGCCGCCGGAACCACCAACGACGAGAGAGCATGGGGCTGAGTGCCTCCGCCAACGCGTCTCTATCAGAGGACCTCGTCCGCGCAAGCGCACCGCCAAGAATACGGGTATCTCGTACGCTCCAATACATCACAACCTGCGCCGTCCTCTCCCAGGCAGAGGACGAGGGATAGGGCTAATCAACCAAGGCCAAAGAATCCCTCTCCGAGATAGCTCTGATGATTGCATGGCCGACCCGATTCACAGCGACCAGTTATGACAATCTTGGCTCACAGTACGATGAAACACACTGCAACTACTCGAAGCGCAGAATGCGTAGTGGGATCTGGACTGGCTCCGAACGGACGTTGTCGTCAGGGGTGTATGCAGCCTCGGGACGCCACATCCGCTGCTCCTACGCCCATTTGAGATATCTATTCTGCAGCATGTACTGCTCGACACGACCAACCTGCACGTCGACCTCGGGGGTCGCTTCGGCGCGCTCTTGGCTGATGTCGTCTGGCAGTGCGATCGCATGGGGGGTATACCAGTCGATGTGGGGGTGAACATCGCCTCTGCCTCTACACGGCGCATCGTCAAAGAAGAGACCATGATGATGCCGTGTACGTACGAGCGCTTCCGCTTCTCCTGTATGGCCAGCGCAAACCCGCCATCGAGCACGACCTCGCTCATGCTGTGCGGTACAAAGCGCAGTCGCGTGTCCGTCTCCACCATTGCGCGCACGAGGCCATCCACATCGCCAGCATCCGGATCCAGCTGTGCTGCGGCCAGAATCTCACGCACGCCAAAAATGGTATCACTTGCTAGCGGGTCGTTCCAGTGATCACGTGCAATGCGAATGCATCGAGTGACAATGGCGCGTGGCACGTGACGAGCGGGTGTCGGCGCCTCGGCTTTGGCGAGAAAGGCAGCATCGCCGTCGGTAAACGGTCTAAGTACACATGGGTTAGCACCTTGGAACTAGTTGAGAAACGCGTACAAGAGCTGGAGGCGCGGGTTGTTTGCAAGGCCAAAGTTGCCGCGCCCGAGCGCGTCCGCACCGTAGAGAACGCGGTCGTCAGCGCGCAGGCGGTCGATGATGCCACCGACGTACTCGTCAAGCGTCACGAGGCCTTCGGGCTGCAGCTTGGCAGCTTTCGCTGCAATGTACGCATACGATACCGTCGGCTGCGTCGCCAGCTTTTCCAGCACGTCCGCCAAGAGGTAGCTTGCGGCACTCGCGACGTCGAGCTTGACAGCACGCACAAAGTGATCGCCATTGAGATGCAGTCGGTCGTCAAGGCAGAGACGCTTGACGAGGTAGGCGTAGATCCCGTCGGCACTCCAGCCCGGCGGGCACGCCTCGACTCGGATGCGCTGCAACGGAAAGGACGCGTGGAGCTCCAGGTCCGTCAAAATGATTCTTGTCATGCGTCGGAGAGCCTTGTCGGCGTTGACTGCGACGCGAAGCGACCTACCACGCAGCGTCCGTTGCAAAATGCATACGACGGGCCAAGAGAACGTACGCGGCCGGTGCACGTGGTGCTTCATGCGGCAACGTAAAGTAGCCGTCGCTCCACTCGTGGCCTTGGACCTGGCCTTGGACGAACGCGAGGCTCGGATTCCGGCGCATGGCTTCCGCAACGCTCTGCGCGAATGCGTCGTCGGCGGCTTCTTCGGGCGACTCGACAGCCTTCTTGGCCTTGTAGCGGAGGCAAGGAAACCCGCGCCGGCGCCGGGCCTCGGCGAGGATCGTCGCCACGGGGAACCACGACACGTGCTGCAGCGTCGCCTGTGCCATGGCCGTAAACTTGACAACCGCGGCGTCGAGCGAGAGCGCCATGCTGGCTTCGTACGCGCCGTTGGCGCGGGCAAAGACGCCCCGGCTCTTCTTGTCGAGCGAATAGACCATGCGCGGGTCGAGCTTCATGGCCTCGACGATCGCGGTCGCATAGGCTTTCGGCTCGACGTTCTGGGACACCATCGTCTTGGCCTGGCCAAAGAGGTTGGTCGTCATCCACGTGGGCTGCGTCCGCAGCACATGAATCGCGACTTGGGTCCACTTCCGGACGTCAAACTGAAACGCGTCGGCGTAGACGAGCCGGACCTGGAGCGTCTTGGTGACGTCTTTAGTGTGCGAGCGCGTCGACTGCATTTGCGTCTCCTTCTCGAGTGCGCGGCGGTGCCACATGTACGGGTTGCGCGCATCGCCATCGCCTTGCAGGATACCCCTGACCTTGAGCCGGCTCGCCACGAGGCTGCTCCCGTCGCTCTTGTCACGTAGGAGACGCCACCTAACGGCGCTTGAGGTTGAGACGGTCATGGAGGCGTTGGTACCAGGTCTCGAATTGCGGCGAGCAGCGGACCGACGCCTCGTAGACGTTGAGGAGATCGACGAGGTCGGCCTTGGTGACGACAGTCTCGAGGCGGCGCCAGTCGCAGAGGAACTCGAGGAAGACGAGCTCTTCGAGGACGTCGCGGGGCATCCTCACGTGCTCGTGCTTGACGAGGTGGTCGGTTGCCATTCTCCGTGTAGCTTGTTGCTTGGGCGATGACCTATTGATAGTGTAAGAAGCACCGAAATAGAGTGATCTGGCCTTTCCAACGGTTGACTTGACCCTTTCCTCGACTTGCCGCCGTGGCTCTACAGAACCAAGGCGCAAGGCTCCCAACTGCAACAAGTACTATTACATAGCCCAGCAGTAGCCGAGTCGCAGCCTCTGCGCTGACGACCACTTCGTACTCGTCGCAGGAGGCGAGCCTCTACGTGTGAACACGCCGTCGCAAGTTGCCGTCGCACGCTCAATCCACGGGTCCTGTTTATGGACCCTAGCTCATTCGCACCTTGGTCTTCTCCAGGGACACGCTCCAATTTCGCGCCATTACAGCAGCAGCACGACGTCGTTGGAATCGCGCGTTCTCGGCGCAAGCAACAGGCCGGGCCAGCGCCACGCACGGCAACGCCATGCCGGTCCGCATCGCCACGGACCCTTCAGGATGCACCGCGTGGGACGCAGCGCCGCACGCCACGCCGTGTAACAAGCCGCCTCTCTGCGGCGACGCGGCGAGGCGACATCGATACGCTGCGACACGCGGGACAGGCCATAAAAACCGGCAATCCGCGGATGACTTCAACTTTGCACCGAGCCGCTCGGACCTCGGATCGCAGTCGCCGTTGTGCCACGTACTACACAAGCTCACACGCATGAAGACCATTCCCGCAAGCGAGTACTACGTCCCGCGCGTCACCCAGTGGTGGACGCAGCTTGCGCTCATCAACTTTGTCATCTTCATCGCCGAGTCGTCGCGGGGCATCGTCATGCCGACGCTCTTCCTCTACTGCCAGTCGCTTGGCGGCGGTCTCTACGAGATGGGCCTTTTAACCTCCGTCTACAGCGTCGGTCGCCTCATTTCATCGACGGTCTTTGGCTATCTCTGCGACAAGCACTCGTTCCGCGCCGTGTACATTGCGTCGGCCATCATTGGCTTCGCCGGCAACATTGTCTACTTTGTCCCGAGCACGCGTGCGCTCATCATCAGCCGCTTCTTCGTCGGCGTGAGCTCCGGCAACCTCAGCGTGTGTCGGTCCAACGTCGCCGCCATGACGACCGTCGACGTTCGGCTCAAATACCTGACGATCCTCGCGATCTCCGTGTACTTTGGCTATGCGCTCACGCCCGGCCTCGACGGCTTCATGACGGGCATCGACTACCACATCCTGGGTCTTCCGCTCAACGAGCTCACAGGTAAGAAGACATGACCTCGCTTGCTACATGGCCGCTAACGTCTTTGGTGCTAGCGCCGGGACTGCTGCTCGTGCTCTTGAACTTGGTCACAATCGTGCTCATGTTGTGCATCTACGACGACTCGATCGGCGTCCAGGACGCGCCGGAAGCCGCGGTCGACGAGACACAGAAGAAGACATCGTCGCCCATGGACGCATTCGTGCTCTCGGACACGCTTGTGTACGCCGGGGTTGTCCTCTTCATCATGCTCAACGTCGTCGCGCGCGGCGTGCTCTCGATCTACGAGACGATCAACGTCCCGCTGTTCGTGCAAGTGACGGGCGACTCGCACGAGAATGTGATCGTCGCCGCGTCGACGTTCCAGTTCAACCTCGGTCTCCTTGGGTATCGAGACGATCTCTCGACCAGTCACCTCATGATATCGCATTAGGCTGCTGGCGTACGTGGCCATTGAGATCTGGCACCACGTCATCTCGGACGTCAAGCTGCTCGTGATTGGCTTTGCGGGCCTCGGTCTTGGCAACTTGATTCTGGCGCTGCACGCGACACCGACGTACACGGAGCTCTGGACGGGCGTCTTCTTCCTCTGGAGCGTGGGTAGTCCCATTACGACCGCGGTGTGCGTCTCGGCCTTCTCCAAGATCCTCGGGACGCGCCAGCAAGGCAAGTGGATGGGCATCTTGGGCTCGGCGGCCTCGGTGTCGCGCATCATCATGCCGATGCTGCCAGCAGCCTTTGCAACGTTTACGCCTGTCTTTTGGATGGACGTCGTGCTCTGTGCTTTGAGTATTGTCATGCTCGTTGCGTACGACGCCGCGGTGCAGCACGAGAAGACGTCGACGCGCGGCGATGCGTTGCTGATGCAGTCGAAGCACGCCGACTATGCGAGCGTCGCCCATGCGTAGCGAGCAGTGAGTTACAGACAACGAAGCTTTTTGATTGGAGATGGATGCAGCACCCGATACAGTGGATTCGAGTTACTCGTTTGCGAGATCCAAGGGAATCCGCGGTGGCACCACGCGTTGTTTTCGGACACCGTCCTCGACGCCGTCGTTGGGTGGTGTGCCGGCCTCGACCAGTGCCTTGCGACGGGCCTATCCACGCACGGCGGCTGCTTAGACTTGTCCAGTTGGAGGTGTAGAGCTGTACCTGGAGCTGGCTTTCGTCCGTCTCGAGGTGCATGGGGCGTGGCGTGACGTCGGTCGGAAAGAGCACAAGCCGCGGCTCGGTCCACGCCATGGTAGCGCTCACAGTAGGCACCGAACGCTTGATCTTCTTGGGCGGCGGCTCCAACAAAGCCGGTCTACGCATCACCACCCGTGTATCTCTGCTCGTCGACGACGGTTGTACGTACCTCGGAGCTGCGCTGGCTTTGCAAAAGTACGCGCGGCCCTTCTCGTCCACCTCAAAATGCAGCTGCGGGTTCTGCTTCATACCCTGGACGACTTGGTGGATGTAGCGGTCGTGGGTCCACTGGAGTGGTACGCACGACTTGGTTTCTTCAAACAGAAACGAGACCGCAAACATCGGCACATACTGCAGCAGCTCGAGGGCAAGCGCGGTAAAGCCGTCGATCGCCTTTGGCACCGCGAGCGGACCTTTGGGGAGGCGGTCTCGCAGCCCGCTGTCGCTGGTCTTGGTAGTCGGTCCTGGCGTGGGCAGCAGTGACGCTGTCGGTGTCTCAAAGCCTTGGCGCCGCGCAAAGGTAAAGTAACTGCGCTCGAAGGTCGGCCCGTCCACAAACTGGAAGCGGCCGTCGCGGCGGAAGCGGTCGAGGACGCGGGCAATGTAGGCGTCTTGGGCGCAGCCCTCGAGGCGCGAGTTTCGGACCATCTCGAGGATGTGTGTGATCGGGTACATGTCGTCTCGCTGGAGTACATCGAGGGCTTCGTTGATGTAGTTGGCGGCGGCGGCCTGGAAGGGCAGCGGCGGCTTGACGTACCCGTTGCTGCGTAACCGAAAGATCATTTGCCCTTGGTGGTCCGAGACGAGCTCGATCTCTGGGTGGCGCTCCATCTGCTGGAGCAGCGCCGCAATGTACGCGTCCGCGTCCACGTAGTTGGGGAGGCGGAAGCGCAGCTCGCTCTCGATTTTGGAGACGTAGTAGGGCTGCCGCTTGGTCAAGCTCGAGAACGCATACTTGGTGTACATGACCACGTCGTAGTTGATAGCGTCGTTGTAGCGCAGCGGCGCCGAGAGCACAAGGCCCTTTCCACGCATTTGGATTGCGCGGTGGATTGCCGAGAAGTTCCACTTGAACGGCTGCGATGGCGATCCGTCGCCATCGAGGAGGCCCATCTCGTGCATGCGGTGGAGGAGGATGCGACAGCCCTCGTCGCGGTCCGAGAGCCATGACCACCTACGATGCGTACTATGGTCAAGCGCGCGCAGGCAATGGGCGCGGCTACCAGTTGGCAAACTGCGGCGACGTCTGGCGCGAGGCTGCGTACTCGTCGAGGAGGTCGACAAAGTCGGGCCGGTAGTGCACGCTGCGGCTCACGTCCGGGAGGTCCACGAGGTACTCGAAGAAGGGCAGCATGCTCATGACGTCGCGCTCGATGCGCAGGTTGTCCCGCTCCGGCGGGCCATCGTCGTACGCCGACCGCGTCGCCATCGCTGATGCTTCCAACGTGGGGAAACCAAGCTCTGGCGCCCGGAGCCCCGCCTGCGATTGGCTAAAATGCGGCGCCCCGTCCAAAAAAACGGGCCGCCACAAGTCCTGTGACACATGCAACGTCAACGCCACCCTATAGTACCGGTACGTAATACATTCTAATAACGTTAGGACAACTTGTGCAATGACTATAATAGAGAGGGACCAAGAATGAGTCCATTGCAGTAGACTCTCAAAACAGTGTACTCGCATCGTGATATCCCATAGTTTGCAAACTCTGCATGGAGTATGATGATGTCGGGCCTGTACCAGCACCCGGCAACGAGTGAAGCGGCGCTCAACGCCTCACTAGGATCGAAGCTGGTCGCTACGGCTTGGGTGCTTCCTCCTCTGATCACGGTACTGCGCCCGCTTGCTGCGAGCAGCGCCGGATGAAGATCAAGACTTGGTTGGACCAAGACCGCTAGCCTTGCCGAGGCTGCGTTCGGATCAGCAAGATTCATTTCGTGACCTTTGGTAGATGAACTTAAAGCCATATTGCTCGTCTTCTACAGTCGTAGTGCGTGACCATGCAAGGGTCTTGATACCACCGACAAGGAAGCCCGCAAGGCGACTTCAACTTGAGGCAAGATCGCATCCGGCCCAAAACCCGCACGGTATCCGGATGACAAGCAGCTTTGGACGAACGATGGAGCGGCAGGCGGCGTCGTCGTGGCGGCGCAGCCATACGCCTCCACACAGCGACCGGCGGCAGACAGCGGCTGCTGGCGGCCGCGAGAGACAGCTTGGCGCTGTGCAACGAACGTTGCCTGGCAGCGCGGCGAGGAAGAGAGACCGGGCGCCGCCCCCGAGCAAGTCTGGCGAGCGTACGAGCCCGACATGGATCCGTTCCGACGCCAGCCGCTGCACGCCGATACAAGCCCGGTAACCACAGACGAAAGCACGCAGACGGAGGCGGTCGCAGACGACCTCGGGCGATACGGCCCCGTGCATTTGATGAGCATGGCCGCGATCGACGAATTGATGGCCCGTCTGAGCGAGGTACGTACATCTCGTGGCACACAATGACGACGCCTGTCGTGTAGCGTAAAACCGAGTTGCAGTGCCAGTGCGAAGTAGCTGTCCTGGCACCCGCGCCACCCGAGGATTCCAAGCCAGACACGATTGGTGACGAGCCAGCGGTACCGACCGACGGCGCGCTGGTCCAAGCCCCAACCCGGAGTCGGTCGTACGAAGCGCTCGTGCAAATGGAAGCTATCCTCGAAGCACGCCACCGACAGCTCATGGAGCATGGAACGCTCGAAGCCTACGAGCGTGCGCCGGCCAAGACACGCCCCGCGATGGCCGACATTCAAGATGAGATCGCACGCATGCACATGCAGCTGCACCCCACAACCGACTAACACAACGTACTACTACTGCAGAGATCCAAACATCCTCTGTGATACGCTATTCGCTGTACACGGAGAGCCTTTCGCCGGTCGAAAGCGGCGAGAACGGATTCACGCGCGACCACATGATGGCTTCGTCCAGCGAGATGGCGGAGACCTCGTCCTCTAGCTTGATCGATGGACCGTGGATGATCTACGCACACACATCATACACACTGACACCGCCAAAGGCAAGGTCGACCTCGCCAGTGAAGAGTGACCGCAAGGGAAACTTGGCTTGGCCCGCCGACGGGAGGTTGGAGCCGGGCACTATAACCGCTTCGACGCGACCTGGCAGCGTGTCTAGAGCCTCCTCAGCATGCGACACCGGCACGAAACCATTGTTGTTACGGGGAGGTGATGCAACGACGTTGCGCCACACCGCCACGCGTGCTTCGAGCGCGTCTGGCCACGAGCCTCGCGACCGCTCGAGCTGCGTGAGCACAAGTTGCAGCCGTCCGAGATCCCGTGACGCGCAGTAGTCTGCCTCCTACATCTGTCTTGAACGCACATTGTACCGCAGAAAATGGCAAACAGCTTCGAGCAAAGCAGGCTCCGCGATTGGAAATCGAAGCGCGGCGCCATGGCACTGCGTGTGCACCACATGGAAGAGGTAGCTCACGACTGGTACGGGCGACCGGGCGTCCATGGCTTGCACGGCACCGACAAAGGCCATGACAGCCAAGAGCGTGGCGCGCTGCCTAGCGTGGTATTCTATCAACCGAAATATCAATGTGTCGAGTCGTCGTACTTGGGCGTCGCGGCCGCGGCGTCGTACGAGCCCAAGATGCTCGTAAATGCAAACACCACGGGCCAGTTGACCTCAGGGGCACCGAGAAGCTCTAGCGCAAGCGTCACGGTCCGCGCCACCACTGTAAACGACCGTACCAAACACTTCCGAGATGGCGACGTGGAGGCCCTAGACCGCTCACTTTCAAGTTGATAGAAATACGATGCACGTGAAACCACCTCTGCCTCGTCGCCGAGCAAGAGGTAAAGTCGAACGGCATCGACCAGCTAGAGTAGAAGAGCTCGTCAAAACGTCAACGTAGCGGAAGGTACGCGGTCGCCGGCCAACGCGTCACGGAGCTCCGCCTCCAGCTGGGTTTTCTCGAGGAGCCGAGCAGAGAGCGTTTGGGTGCGTCCGAGCCGCGCCTGGCGCGCGCACAAGAGCCACGTCTAGTGCATCATGAGCAGTGCATGAAGAAGTCGCGGGCAGAGAACCTCGTACTTGGCTTCGAGAGGCGGGAGCGTGCCGAGGAGCTGCAACACGAGGGGCAGTGCCCCGAGCGCTTCGTACTTGAAGGCGAGGCGGCGCACAAGCGCGACGGGTAAATGTCGCGGCGACTCGTCCGTCGACAGATAGGTCGAGAGAACGTACGCCAACTCGAGCTACACACCGAATGTGCCATATTGAACCAAGATATGGCGCATGCCTGGTCGCCGCGAAGGAGGACGGATATCGCACTCTCCACGTCGTGGACCGAGAGGTAACAACACGCGGCAAGAATCGGGTCGCCCGCGTCCACGTACTGGGCTGCCAACGCTGCACGTGAGCTATGGCGCAGCGCCGACTACGGAATATGAGACACTTTTCTCTGGCCAAAACGACGACGAACCCAGTCCTGCTGCCGTTGCGAGTCGTGCGAGGATACGGACGCTGCAGCTGCCATCGTCTCGCTTGCCTTGGCGACGACGAACGCGTCTTCAAACTGATTCCGGCCGTGGTACAGAGCGACGGCGCTCTCAACGTTGCGGGTCGCCACGTAGTAGACGGCAGCGTCCTCACTCTCGGTCGCGGCCAAGTGCTCGGCGTACTCGGTCGCGAGCTTGTCCCAAAAGCTCATTGAGACGCCCGGTGCCACCGCGAGCGCCTTCTCCCACTGGTTCATGTCGGCCAAAATACGGCAATAGCTACAACGACATGGATGCATCCGCCCGCTGGACGATGTGCTCTTCAACGCACCGAACGAGGTTGCCCGCCTTGAGGTAGGTCGCGGCCGCTTGCAAGAGGTGCTCTTCCTTGTTGAGCCGCGTCGTTTTGCTCGGGCGGCGCGACGTGGCCAAACCCGCCTCGAGGCGCCGAGCGTGCTCGAGGTACGTCTCGACGACGCTCTCTTCGCGTTGGATGCGCATCTCGCGCGTGCTCTTCTGACGCAGCAGCGCAAACAAATTCGTGAGGCCGGGCAGCATCCCCGCAACGACGAACGCGGCTTCGATTTGGGCCACGTCGGGGGTCGAGAGCACGGTGGCCAGCAACGTTGTCGCCGACTCGTACGTGCGGAGGCCCCAGAACCGCAGCGTCGAGTCTCGGGAGCACGACACAAAGGTACACGGCGTCGATGGGTGGGTCGCAATGCCGTACACGTCGGCGAGGTGATCGACGACCACGAGCCGGCAGCTCCGCGAGTGGATGTCCCAGATGCGGATCGTCGCGTCCCAGCTGCCGCTGAGCAAGAGTGGCGCGCTACAGTATCATCTCAACTCGATAGTATCAAGATATCAAATGCAAGTACGGGGCGGCGTGCCACACGAGCGCCCGCACAAACCCAGTGTGCCCCGTGAGCGTGATGTACGGCACGACGGCGTCGGCAGCGTCATCTTCGGGCCATGTCCAGACGCGGATCGTGCAGTCGTCCGAGCTCGTCGCGAGAAGGAGCCGCGCAGGGTCGGCGTACCACACCGTGTGGAAGACCCGCGCGGCATGGGCTGCGAGCACGCGAAGGGGCTCGGTCGACGCCGTCTTGGTGGCAAAGATCCGGACAACATGGTCCATGCAGCCGACGACGAGTAGACCGTCGCCGCGCGGGCTCCAGTCGCAGCCAAACGCAGCGCCTATGATGCATCCTACGATTGGCCAACCTTGAAGCGCAGGCTACCTGGCAGCACGTAGCGCTTGACGAGGACGCCGCTTGGCAAAGCCAGCACGACCGTCTTGTCTTTGGAGGAGGATGCGAGGAGTCCGTCAGCACCCGTGTCCCACGCAACGCGGTAGACAGCGTCCGTGTGATGGCGCATCTGCACCGTGGCCACACCGACGGCAACGTCCCAGAGGAAGACGGAGCCCACGGAGGACGACGAGGCAATCAAGGCAGCGTGGGTCGGCGACCACGCGACGCTGTAGAGCACACCGTCTTGGCCCTGGAGATGCTGAAGGCAGTGCATGGTTTCGACGTCCCAGATGCGCACGCTGCTGTCGTGGCTGCACGTTGCCAAGACGTTTGGATTGCTGGGCTGGTACCGCACGTCAAAGATCGTCTCCTTGTGGCCGGGCTACACGCACTTTGATGTGGTTTCCTCATATAGACGCATACGTGGCTCGCCCATGCGAGGTGGCGCTTCTGGAGGTCGTAGACACCCACCGAGCCGTCGACCGCTGCGCACAAAAGGCGATGGTCCCTCAAAACCGCGACATTGTGGATGCCTGACGACTGAGCGCGGACGTGCTGCAGCGGTTGTGGCTGCGAGACGTTCCAAATCTTGAGGATACCGCTGCGCGCGTTGGCCGTCACAAACTGCCCGGGCGCCGATGGCAGCCTACATCTCGGTCATTCGCTGCGCTGGACCGTCAGGTACCAAGCAATGGCGTTCGTGCCGGCGCCTTGCTTGTCGAACGTGTGCAACTGCGTGCCGGTCGTCTCGTTGATCTCCCACAGCGCGCTGTGGCCGTCCTTGTAGGCCACGAGAAGGTACAGATGCGAGAGGGAGTCCCACGTCATGTCGGTGATCGCGAGTGCCCTCTTGTCTCGCTTCTTCTCGCGCGTGATTAGCGTCAGCGACGCCGGACGCGTAGCATGGTGGAGCCCGATCGCCCCCGACCTACAAAAGTATCAATCTATCAGGAATAATAAGGCAAAGTCACACTCGAAGCCGATCGCGAGCATGCCACGCGTCTGGAGGTTCCATCGCAGCACGGTCATCGGCGACTCGGTCGGCTTGGGCAGAAGACGGGCCATGCTGTGGGTGCTGGCCTCGAGGTCGACTGTCCACACATAGATGCTAGTCACGCGTCACAATACGTTCGATGGCGTCGGCGACGTACAGCTTGTCGCTGCAGGCGATCGCGAGCTGCATCGTTGACGTGTCGTGGGGCTGCCATTGCAGCGAGATGGCGTGGTGGGCCGTCGGCAACGTCGCTTGGAAGAGAATCTCCTCGGTCGTGACGTTCCAGAGCACGACGCCGCCTTCCATTGCAACGGTCGCCAAGTACGCGCTGTGGCAAGCGAATGGGCACCACGCAAGGCCCAGCACGTTGTCCTTGGTCGAGAGGAGGCGGTGCAGCCGGAACGTCGAGGCCTCGTACACGTACACGGCGAGCGTCGACGCGAACGCAAAGAAGGCGCCAGTGGCATCGCTGCCCACAATGTGCAAGTTGCCGAGCCCGCGCCGCTGCATGCAGCCCGACGGCACGACGCGGACTTGCTGGAAGCTCACCTTGGCCCGCGGGTCCATCTCACAAAACGCGATCTTTCGAAATGGATTGGCCGGCGCTCCATGATCGCAGCCTGCCGATGCCACAAGAACGCCATGCGCCCTTGTAATTGTCTCGTAGCAGGCCATGGCCATCGACGTCTCTCGGCACGTAGTCGGCGCTGCCCCGTCCTGCGTCGGCGCATGCACCGGTCCTTTGTCTAATTACACGCCACATTGGCCGCACAAGGTGACACGACTGTATGTACTTTGCAGGACGCCGCGATAGAGCCACACTGTAGCGAGAAAACAAACGGGTTGGTGGCGCACAACGCCATGGGTACTTGCAATGTGGTGATCCGTGGTGGCGACTGGAAGGTGGTCGCGTTCAAGTTGCGTGTGTGTAGCCCACCGGATCCCATTCGCGGAGCTGGAAACAGGATCTTGCGACGTTTCGGAGCGAGCGAGCGTCGATGGTATCGGCCAAGGAGGTCGCGCAGGTCGCAGTCTATGGTGGTCCGCTCGACAAGAAGGTAGGCGCAAGACGACGCGTGCGCTTGCAGTATCCTCCTTGTCCTGTAGGGCCGCATGGGCTGGAAGAAGCGGTACTTCTACCTCACCATGTCGCAATGGATGTACTACGATGCCACCGATGCGTCGTCGCCGAGCTTTGTCACGAACGCGTCCGAGATCTCGCTCGTCGAGGAGCTCCATGCGTCGACCGATCCGGCCATGAGCCAGAGCACGAGCAGCAGCAGCTCGTCCTCGAAGGGCTACTGCTTCGCCATCGTCGTCGGGAAGAAGCGTAGCGAGCTGCGCGCCGCGACGGAGGAGGACCGTGACGGCTGGATCGGCGCGCTTGCTCCGTATGTGAAAGAGACGGCGCCGCTCTCGAGCCCCCACGCCCACCACCCCAAGTCGCGCTCCAGTACCGCACACCGCATTGGCGTTCTGGACGCTTAGAGCACTCGCTGTGTAGAGGCCGAGCTCACCAAGGTGGCCGAGTACCTCAAGCAGCAAGTGGCGTTCCAGAAGAAGAAGCAGTTTACGACCGACGAAGCAACGACGATTCTCGCCAAGAAGTTCCCCAACCTCTCGCTCGCCGAGCTCGAAGCGTGGGGCCAAACCCTTCTCGACGCCAAGTTCATCATGACAACGGGCCCGACGACCAAGGACTCGATCTCGTTTGGGCGCCACCCTGGCGTCTTTACGTGCGACGTCAAGAAGAAGACGAATCGGTTGACGGCCAACGAGCGCTCGCGCATCAGCGACGTCATGAGCAGCGCGACCTTTGACGCACGGGCGTACGCCGAGGTCTTTCTGAAGCGGAATCCGCCCGAGAAGATCCAGGACCACTGCGAGATGCTCCTGGACCAAAAGGTACAGCGGCAGGATTGTCTCTCCGTGGTTTTGAAGCCTGTGGACGTAGGAAGCCATCATTGAAGAGCTCAAGAGCGACATCTGTGCCAACTACGTCACCTTTCTCTCGGCGGCCGCGGAGATTCGAAGCATGGACAGCAGCGTTTCGCTCATGAAGAGCGTCATCCACGACTGCAAGCGGTCGCTCTCACTCTTGCAGACCCTCTCGCTCGTCCCCCCCAAGCACGGTACCTTGATATCCGCATCCACCAACTACAGATATCCAACGGACGACGAGTTGTAGACGCTAAAAAGGCGATGAGTGCCAGCAGCAACAGCAAGCTGCTCGCTGCGGTACCGACGCCGCAGGATGACACGCTTCTCGAGCTCGAACATAGCCTGGAAATGTACCTCTTTGAGCAAGACTACGACGGCTTTACCTCGCTCGTGCTCGAGACACGAAAGAATGCACCGTCGATGGCGGCAAGTATCCTCTACAATCGACGACGTCGCGTCACCGAACAGTAGGCGAGCGCGCTCGTCGACCGCTACACGGCGCAATTCGTGCACAAGGTGACGACCGCAACAACAACGGTGCATCAGACGTTCCGCGACAACCACGTGGCACATTTACTTCGGCTGCACGAGACCAAGGCGGCGACCGACATGTGTTTGGACGCGTACTCGGCGCGGCTGCACACGCAACTGCGCACGGTGGTGGCGTCGGGGCAGCCGCAGGCCTACGTCCTCGCGGCGTCGCGAGCTTTTTTCACCACGCTCCTCATGTGCTACGAAGACTTTGTCGCGAGCTTCGAGGGCCAGCGTAGCTGCTATTTTGTCGCGCTCACGGGCTGGATCCACGCCAACGTCGCGCAGTTTGCATCGGAAATCGCACTGCACATCTTTGAATGCCCCGACCCCGCGATGGCGTCGGTGGTCCGCGACCCGAGCGAGCTCAAGACGTCGTCCAAGGCCATTGGCGCGAGCCTCCGGCTGCTCTACTTTGGCGCGCGCCAGCTCGAGCTCGCGGGGCTTCCGATCGCGACGCAGCTCGCGCATTGCCTTTCACAACCACTCCAGCATCACATTTTGGCCTATGCCAAGGCCATCAAGGTACGCTACCTCGCGGGTGCGTCTCATTCACATGAGAGAGGATAGCTCAAGGTCAAGGATGAAGTCAAGCGCGAGCGATGGGACCTCCTCTCGATGAAGATCCGCGACGAGAAGACCCAGGCCGAGCAAGAGATTTCGCTCACCAAGAGCGCTCGCTTCTTCTACGGGCACTTACAACAGTACCTGCGCGACCTCCAAAAGCTCCTGCACCCGTCGTACCCGTCGTCCCAGTACGTGGTTGTTACCATCGATGCATCTCGATTCTAGCGCCATTTCTGTAGGTCCCCCAAGATCCAAACGACGGTGCTCTACGAGACCGAGCTCGTCCTTCTCCAGTACCTCCAAGACATCAAAGCCATGTTCGAGAACCCCAAGACGATGACGTCGGTCAAGTACGCCCACGTATGTCAAAGCTCCTATGTCATGAAGCTCGACGGTCGTCTTGTAGATCGTCGCCATGCTCTCAACGATGCGCTACATCGAGAAGGACTGCGTCTCCCGCGTACTCCACACACTCACGGCGTGTCTTCCGGCGGCACAGCTCCAAAAGGCCGCGTTTGGCTCTCAAGTTGCACTCGCTGTGCCAGGCCGATGGTGTCGACTCATCGTGCCCGAGTAGATTCGCCAGCTGTGGCTCGATATGCTAAACGCAAGTGTGCCGCGCATGGCCCAAGCCCTCCTACGCAACAGCCTTCGCTGGCACGAGCTCAGTCTCGCAAGCGATGCGCTGCCGTCGGACAGCGCCGCATCCGCCCTCTTTCTGCCCATGCTTCTCCAGGATTTGAACAGCGTGAGCCCGGACCAGCTCGATATCTTTGGTGTTGGTTTGCATCTAATTATTGTGAGACTCATGGCATGAAGACTCATGCACCTGTTCTAGGATCAAGACGACGTGACGTTGCAGCTGCTCGAGTCGCTCTTGCAGGCCATGCTCGACGACAGCGCGTGGTGGCAGCAGATTGAGACCAAGCAAAAGGCTCTTGGGTACGGCGGCGCGAGCCAGTGCATCGCCGAGCTGCGCGTGCTCACGTCGCGCGTCGCGTCGCCGGGGATCGCGCAAGCCGGCACGAGCCTCGAGCAAAAGTTCAAGACCATGTACAGCCGCGTCGGGACGAGGAAGGAGCTAGCACCCGATGCGTGGTGCACGCAGTACGGCCTCGAGATCACCAAAGACACCAAGATGAAAGGGTAATCATATCGACAGTCGTATTCTACTTGGAGGTGTCTTTGGTTGGAAACCACTCGGAGATGAGGCGCGTCTTGGCGCCGAAGGGACGCCGCTTGGTCGCCGGCGCGGGCAACGTCGGACTGCTCAGATCCACAAGCGTGTTGCTGCTCCTACTTGCGCCATCTATCGGGTGCAAAGCGGATCGTTTGGCAAAAGCTGCTTGCAGAGTCGAGCGCTGGTAGACCGGCACCTGCCCTTTGGTGTACAGTGGCACGGGCGGCTCGGTTGTCGTCGGACGCGACTTGGGCAGCGGCGAGAGCACGTCAATGGCTGTGAGGTCGACGACAGGTGCGGGCTTCTTGCTTTCGGGCTTTCGGGGGCGCTTTGGCGCGCGCTCGGGGCTGGATGGCGCCGCAGGGCGCTTGGCCGCTCGCTCGAGCGCACGAACTTTGGCCGTTAGCTTCTCGTACTGCTCGGCGCGGTACCGGTTCGAGGTCTTTAGCGCGAGAATGACGTCGTGCGGTCGCTGCAATTCGGCTTCGAGGACGCTAATCTGGTTGCCATCGATAAACTTCTGAATTGAAGCAGCGACCGACGCCGCGCTGACTTGGGCCTGAAGCTGTTTCAAGGTCGCTCGCATGTCGACTGCGTCCTGCTGGAGCTTGAGCTGCGCGTACTTGGCGTCGTGCTTGGCCTTCTTGAGCACTTCGTTGGCCTTCTTGAGGGTTGTGATTTCGCTGGTCGCGTCAAGCACCCGTTGCTCGTACGTCGCCATGTCTTGGGTTTGGCTCTTGAGCCGCGCCTCGAGCGCGCCGACTCGCGACGCCAGCGACTTGTTTATTACTTGAATCTCGCGGACGTTGATCGTGCCCTCGTTGTCGACAGCGTCGTTGGACGGACGCGCACATGGGGCAGTCGGTGGCGTGTAGAAGAGCTTGGTCGTGTGATGCGGCTGGCACGGCGCGCGGCAGGTCGGGCATTGCCGCTTGGCGCGCAGCGACATGGCCACGCACTTGCCATGGTACACGTGGCCGCAGGGCAGGCAGCTCAAGTCGTCGACCAGCGGCTCGAGGCAGATGCTGCACTCGCCCTCGCTTGACATGGCCGCTTTTCCGAATTTGAATTTCGTCCAATCGCAGTGCGTGGTTTGAATTAAGACCGCCAAATAGTGTGGAGTGAATGTGATTAGTGTGCAGTAGAATCAAGAGCGAGCAAATGCACGGCAAATGCATGCAAGCAGCATCGATATAGCTGCGACGAGGAATGACACACCACAGGTTTCGCTTGTCGATGCTGCTCGTGTACTTCTAACAACGCATCGGGGGCCACAGAGTGCTCTTGTCGAGACGTCGCAGGAGGTCGAGGCCATCCACACCAGGCGAATCCGGCTCGCAGTGGGGCGTGTGTCTGCCCACATAGCGCTACAGTACGTAGCATCTCGCAGTGCAGCGAGCGCGATAGATCTACGATAGCAAGGGCTACTAGCGAAGATAATCAATCACCCGCGTTTTCATCACTCGAACCGTTTTGAGCAACGGATTGCGTGTTTTTAGCCTATTTTGGCCAATCACGGAGTGGCAACCATGACAAGAATTATAATACCGATCCCATCCATAATATTACTCGGTTTTAATAACACCTATAATAATACAAATGCGCCGGTTGTGCACGGTTGTGATACGAATATAATTATGAATATTCTTGATGAAAGTAGTATTCGCATGATTTATTTATACATGGATGGACTTGACAATTGTCATGAGCGGCGACGCACTGAGCGACCTCGCCGTGCCACGTCGTGACGCGGTCGCTGGCGACGACCCGCTGGGCCCGGAGACGCTCTACGACGCTCTTCTGCTGCACTTGGCCGCGCGCCTGCATGCGAAGATATGCAAGGCCGCTCGGAAGCGCCCGTCATACGAGGTCGCCAAGATCACCGAGACGCTTGCCCATACGAGCTACATTGCCAGCGACGAGCTCGACACCGCGACGCAGCGCATTGTGCGCATGCTACAGGCCGAGCCCGGCGTGACGCTAAACGCTGCCGGAAACCTCTTGCTTTTGGATACGGACAAGCTCCGACTCGTCGACGACAGCGACGCGCCATTGGCGTCGACTACAGGTGGCAACGAGGTAGTGAACGCGCTCGTGCGGCGTCTGGCATGTCAGATTCCTCTCCTTCCGCGTCCACAAATCGCTATTGCCATGATGACCAAGAAGGCAGTTGCGGGCTGCACGGGCCTCACGGCTGGCCAGGCCAAGCGGGGTATCGTTGAAGGCCTCATCCAGCTCGGATGCTTTCAGAAGGTGACCAATGGAGACGGCATCGGGTGCATCGCGATCGACGCGGCGTGTCTCCAGCGCCCCGTGACCGCGTTTCCCGACCTCAGTTTTCTGCAGCAGCTTCCGTCTGCACCAACCGCGGACCGCTGGCCACCAGCTCCACGACGATCAACAAACGAGCCGGTTCTTTCCGCTGCGGCGAGCGCATCTCGCAGCGAAGGAGGCACGCTCTATGACGCGCTGATCGAGCACATTGTTGTGCACGTGCATGGCGCCGTGTACGCGGAGATGAGCAAGAAGCAAAAGCAGTTCAAGGTCAAGAAGATCACTACGCTGCTCCGAAAGGCCGGCTACGTGAACGATATCCAGCGCACGGCCCAGCAGGTTCTGCAGTGCGTCCTGCGCGACCGCTGCCTCACCTGCGTCGACGGGACAGCCATCGTGGCCGTGCGTGCCAGCCCGTTTTCGTTGCCGGCCGCGACGCGCCACGGCGTGGCGGCCCTCGTGCAGACGTGGGCAGCAAAGATTGCGATCGCTCCGCACGAAATTGCAAGCCTCCGAGCGCAGCTTCACAAGGCCGAAGCCATCCAGGGGTTGCCAGGCATGGCCGAGCAAGCACTCGACGCCTTGTGTGCCCTTCGGTGCATGACCACTGTCCGAAACCGCAAGTCCGCACTCTGCCTCGGCATCGACCCGTCGCTTGTCCATCAGTCGTTGGCTTTGTTTCCGGATGTGTCGTTTCTGCGCTCCATGGCGTCGGTCGCGGCGCTCTCCCCTACAGCGTCCTCTCCTTCGCTGCCGCTTTGTCACCCAACACCGTCACCCGTCATGACCTCTCCCGCTCCACCCAGAGTAGGCGTGGATGATGACAGCTCAGGCGCGCGCCACTCGAGGTTTGAGCACACGCTCGGTGACGCGCTCCTTTACGCACTTGCCGATCACATTCGTCGTGCGGCCTACGATGCGATCCGCGGGGCAAAAGCCCGGTACAACTTTTCAGCCAAAGTACCGCTGCTCCTGCGCGCGACGCGCTACATACCACCGGCCTCGTACACGGACACGCGCAAGGTGCTCCTCGAGCTAGTGCTGCGCGACGAGAACTTGGTGTTTGTTAAACCCCTCTTTGTCGTCTCGCGGGATCAACGCTTGCTGCCGCCGGCGCGCCATTGGACGTCCGAAGCAACGCCTGCTGCCATGCGTCATGGGCTGGTGACAGCGCTGGCGATTGCACCCATTGCCATGACGGGTATAGCGAGAGCTGCGACGTCGGCGCTTGTGGTTCGTGGCGTCCACGACGTCGCGACGGTCGTGCCCAAGCTCATTGCGGACCTCATGCAGCTCGAATATGTCGTGGCCACCCAAGACAAGGGCCAGGAAATCTACTTGACGATCGATATGGCGTGCCTTCATCGGCCAGCAGATGACTTTGCCATCGTGCCAGCACCCGAGTCGTGGCTCGTACGGAGCGCGCCAGCACCGACGCCGCACGTCGCTGCAGCAACCTCCTCGGTGCCACCGACACGAGAGGCACATGACGCACCGATGTCCCCGTCGTCCAGCTTGTCGAGCAGTGGGCAGAAGAGAGTCGGGTCCCCTGCAATGTTGTCTGCGCCGTCGTCCCCGATATCTGCATCGTCAGCATCGTCGCCACCTCGGTCGGTGCCGTTGTCCTTGGAGCCGCTGGACGGTGTGGTCCAGACGCACCACGACACGTTCTTGCCCGCGATTCTGGCGTGGGTCCGCGAGGACAACCCGTTTTACGTCTCGTACGTCCGCGGGCAAGTCCGTTCCATTCTCCCGAAGGACGAGGATCTGGACGCGGCGGTTCATGCCGTCGTGACGTCGTTGACGCAGCATCCAGAGCTCATCTACTACAACACTGACCGACCGTGCTTTGTCGGCAAAGGTTGTGCTCCACCTGACGACGTTGTCGTACAAGCGCCTCCGCCAGGGACCTCGGTCGACGACGACGAAGACGACGATGGCAACGAAAGCTGCAGCGACATTTCGGCAGGTATGGCCTTTTGCGATGTTATTGCCCCAAGCCAACGCTAGAATAGAAAGCAACGAGTCGGACGAACCTGAGCCAGACGCCGAGACGCCGGCGTCGGTGTCCCTGTCGCCGACCACGGACATCTCGCCGCGACGCGTGATTGCTGCGTACGTGCAGCAAGTGGTCGCCCATCTCGCCTCTGGTGCCGTTTACGACGTTGCGCTCTTGACGCAACAGCTAAACCGCCTCGACATCGACGCCGACGACATCGAGGACGCTGTCGATGCTGTCATGGCCACGCTGCAATCGATGCCAAGCGTTACGAGCGTCCAGGACGATCGTGGGAACTGGAGCTTTTGTCAACAGAGTCCAAAACGACCTGAGAAAAAACCTCTCGCCGCAGACACAGACACGAGTGCGTAGACCTCCTTGGGTCCAAATGGTGTCAACAGCCCATTGTAGCGACCGAGGCGCCGCCCAAGCAACCCGCCGTGTCGTGGAAGAGCTCGGTGCCATGCACAACGATCACCACCACTGCACAGCTGCGCGCGGTGGTCGCTACGGTCGACGTCCTCAACGACCCGACGCACCGTCGCGTCCTCGCCATCGATGCGTATGGCACGTGGCCCAAGGCGTTGGTTGTGGTTGCCTGCACCGAGACCACGCTCATCATCGACTGCGTCGACATTCCGATGACAGACCTTGTGCACGCCGTGGGGCCGTCGCTTCGGTCGTCGGTGGTCACCAAGATAACGTTTGATGTGCATCGGTCGGCGGCGCTGCTATCGTCGTTGGCCGAGTGCTGTGGTCTCCTTGATTTGCAGCTGCTCCTGGAGCACGAGACGTCGCGCTTCGAGGCTACGTTTGCCGACATGGTGGCGCACGCTGGTCTGCCACCGCACCCGCACCCGCGGTACCTCGACCGCACCGATTTCTTCAACGAGCGGCCACTGCGGCCCGAGGCCGTGCACGCAGCGGCCGCGACGACCCAGCTGCTTCTGCACGCCTCAGACGCTCTGGCGAAAGGCATCTTTGGCAACTTTGCACAGCTACTGGCGGCCTCAACCCAGCGCTTGACGCGTGCGATGGCCTCGCACGGCCAGCGCACACTCTGCTTTGACGCGATGCATGATCGCCGACTGATGTCGGCCGAGTACCTCGGCGCGTGGCGGCCCAACGACGTTGCTGCGAACGCCCCCGTCGTGGTTCACGAAGACTTGGACGATGTTTTGAGCTTGCTGCCGAGGGACTTGGTGTCGCGACTGCTGCAGCCGGGCGTTGCGTCCAAGCTCATGGACATCGTCTTGGACCTCGGGCGGCGGCCGTGGGCGTGGGTCGATGGCACCCGCTTCTTTCTCGATGACACGCAGGAAGACCGCGTCGTCACGCGCGACGACCTCGATGCGATCGTCGACCGCGTCGGTGGCTTTGGCAGCGACAACCGCGCCGGCCTCGAACGCCAACTGCACCGCATCTCGGCGATTCGCAACCGCCAGGACGTGATCATTGCACTCACGATCCGTGTGGGTCGGTACATTGAAGGCATCCTCTTCCTCGGCGAGCCAGGCTGCGGCAAAACCACGATTGTCCGCGAAGTGTCTCGACAGCTCGCCACCACGCACAATGTCTGCATCGTCGATACGAGCAACGAGATTGCAGGTATCGTACCTTGTATCTACGCCCATGGAATGGACACGGACGTCATTAGGTGACGGTGATGTGCCGCATGCATGTGTCGGCTTGGCGCGACGCATGATGGTGCCATCTCTCGATGCGCAGGCAGCGACCATGGTCGAGTGCGTCCAGAACCACACGCCCGAGGTCATGGTCATTGACGAGATTGGCCGGCCGCACGAGGTCGAGGCCGCGCGCACGTGCAAGCAGCGCGGTGTGCGCATCGTCGCGTCGGCACACGGCGACCTCCGCAAGCTGCTCAAGAACAAGCCGCTGCGAGGTCTCGTTGGCGGCGTCGAGTCGGTGACGGTCGGCGACGCACTGGCCAAAGAGCGGCAAAAGAAGAACGAGACCGGCCCGCTGCGCAAGCTCTTGGCGCAGCGCAGTGGCGACCCGATCTTTGATATCGTTGTCGAGCTCCAGCGTGGGCAGTACGATACGTGGCGCGTCGTGACGGACGCGGCGTCAGCAGTCGATGCCGTTCTTGCGGGCACGTCGTACGCAGCGCAAGTCCGTACGCGCACGGCGTCCGGCGATGGATTCCACCTCGGCACTTGCATTTTGTGATGATGATGCGTCCTTTCTTAATTTCTGAAAACCAAGCGTTTCGGAATCAAAGTGCCATGTCGGCGCGCCACGTCATTATACAGATCGTGGGTGTTTCGGCAGCTGCAAGCATATTTGGCCCGCCAAGGCGGCGCCGACAGCGGTCGCCATTGCGCCACTGCTCCCATCGTACTATTCAATGTATGTTGACGCGCTCCGCAGCATCGCATCCGACACCAACGGGCCGCCCGCGTCCGCAAAACTCGAGCTCCACAACGCAGTCAGGCAGCGCAGTCCAATGAATGTACATGGCTCCACGCGCCGCTATCGGTGGTGTCGCGTCAGTAGCAATGTCGCCAGTCGTATGTGAAAGAGATAGCGTGTTGGTCGTCGGCGGCATGAGAAAGGCGGACGGCTGCTCGAGCAATTCGCATGCCGCCGCCGTCGCCGCCTCTCGCCCAAGTCCGCCCGATGTAACATGGCAACACTGCCACGTTTTGTAAGGATGTAGCAGAGGGTAGCATGTTATAATGCTACTACTTTCGTGTCTTTGATATCTGTGTAGAGAGATATCAGTGGAGATTCTCTGTCTTCTGAGCGGGCAACGTTGCGACGCCGTGGCAGCGTGCACAGCCACGATCCGCGCCCTCCATAGACAGGATGGTAGCACCCAAGAGGGCCTCAGACGAGCTCTGGCGCCCAGCTCGCTCGCAGTTGACCAAGATCCGCTCGTACGACGTTGCATGCGTCTACGCACTGGTCCTGCTCGTTCGCGCGAAATGTACAAACTGTGTGTCTTGTTACAAGAGGAGCTTAGAGCCGTCGCGATGGGCCCACATGAAAGCTCTCAAACGACTCGCTGTCGTGGAGGCTGTTGGCGCCCGGGCTCTCTTTTGACTGCATGTAGCGCAGCTTCTCGCTGTCCGTCATGTACTTCCACGCCACGTCGTTCTCGCCGAGCGAGTCGTATGGTCGCGACGAGAAGGACCCGCTCGAGTCGCTCATGATGCTACCCGAGAACGAGACGTTTCCGTGCCGTAGCTGTTGGTGCTAAGGTCCGTGAACCGCGTGTGGTGCAGGTCGTCGCGCACGTCGGCGTCGTTGTAGCTGTTGCCGCGGTCGTAAAAGTTGGACGGCAACCCCGGGCTAGCACCGTGCTGCATCCTCGCCGCCGGAGCTGCAAAGTGCGCGTTGCCCTCGGACGTCACGGCCACGGGATGCGTCGGCGCGGCGGACTTTGGCGCCTGCGTCGGCGGGGCGGGCGGCGGCATTGTCGTTGGCAACGTCGGTGGGTGCACAAAGGCCTCTTGCTGGCGCCGCCGCCGCCGGCGCAGGATATAGATGCCGAGGGCGACGACGACGAGGAGGCCGACAATGGCCGCGACAATGATGACAACGACCGTTGTCGTGGACATGCCTGGGTCGGGCGCGACGGTGCGAAAGGAGGCGGGCGGCGGCGTCTCTGCCATCGTGCTCATGTGCTGCACACGTGCGTGGCGGCGACTTGTCGATTGTAGCAGGTCCCCTTCCATTCGATAAAGCAAAGAAGTAGCACGTCAATCGCCAGCCGGTCGTCAAGCACAGGCGTCCACTTCCGTCTAGCGACAGTGCGACGATGTGGGATCGCAATTCGAGACTGAGATTTTAGTTAGTCGAGTCGACGCACGCAAACCGATTGGCTTTTTTATTATTCCGGCGCGTTTATACAAAGAGGCAGTCGAATTCAATACCTCCAGCGGTGAGAAAGGGACTCGCCCAAAACATTCCAGCGATTTGATTGGCCAAAAACAATTTTTCGAAGGCCCACGCCACTGGATACCTCCTAAAAATAGCCTGCTGTGAAAAAGGTGGGAAATCCAGCCACGTCCGAGTCGAAGAATTGCCAGCGTCGAACTTTAGTTCAAGCCTCTCGTCCGTCATGGGCGTCGGCTGTGCAGCGCGATGGGAGCTCGCGACGGACGATTTCGTGCCCTCATCTGCAAAGGCGCGCAGCTGCACGCAGCACGTCTATCACAAAACGCGCTGTCCCACACCTAGGTGGCAATGACCTCTCGCTGTGATATATCATTTTCTGGAGGTTTAACCGGACCTTCATGTGCATCCGGCTCTCACACCGTGGGAAAGACCGTGTCCAGGTGAAAAACGTGAAAAAGCGCAACCTGCAACCCTTCCATCCGGATGCATTCCAGGGTCCACCACGTCGTCGTCGCGACGATCAAGACGAGCGCATGGCGGACCATGAGCGGGCGGACGATGGCGAGCAGCATGATGGCGGCAAGGAGGAAGCGCCGGCAAGCCCGACGGAGACGCAGGCGACCGGCTTTAGCCTCTTCACCATGCGGCGCCCGGCGGCCATGAGCGCGGACGCGATCCTCGCCGAGCAGGCCATGAACCGCAAGATGCACCACTACTCGACGATGCGCATCCACATGAAGCGCGTGCAGTACGCGATGGAGCAAGAGAAGCGCAACTCGTTCTACAAAGAGCTCGTCTTGTACCTCTTCTTCCTCTTCATCCTCATGCTCACGATCTGCGCGCTGCCCGTGCACATTCCATATGAGCTCAATGCGTCACTGCGGTCGCTCTACCTCGACACGGAGTTCCCCAACATGACGATGAAGAAGACGTTCATAGACGTCGAGACCGTGGAAGACATGTGGCAGTGGGCGCAAGGCCCGCTCGTCTCGTCGTACTATAGCTCGCCGTACCGCAACTCGCACCAGATCACGAGCATCCAGATCCGGACCGGCCGCGTCGAGTCGCTCCCGTGCTCGCGCGTCGGGCCCACCAACTCGCTCAAGCTCTTCCCGAACGAGCTCTGCACGCCCGACTTTTCCCTCACGCACGAAGAAATGGGCCCGTACGGCAACAACGGCTTCAACCAGTCGTTCACGTACCGCTCCGACTTGGACGTGCTCCAGCGATCGTACGTCTTTACGCCGAGTCTCTGGAACTCGCGCATGGACTATGGCACGGGTACATACTATCTCATCTCTCTTCCTTCTTGTTCTGAGCCCGTGCTTAGGGGGGTATCCTGTGTACTTACCGCGGGACAATGCGTCAATCGGTCGCGAGCTACTGCGGCACTTGAAGCGGTCGCTCGTGCTGCCGTCGACGCGGTACGTCAGCGCGACCTGGGTCGTCTACAACCACAACGCCGATGTCTTTTCGCGGCTCCAAATGCTCTTTGAGATCTCGCACACCGACTACATTGAAAAGTCGGCGCGGATCGAGAGCTTCCGCATCATCGGGTATGCGTCGCTCGAGGCCTTCTTCACGACCGAGAACGTCATGATGGTCTTCCTCGCGCTCGTGACGCTCACGTTTACGTACCGCGAGGTCTCGGACCTCATCGAGCACGGCGTCTCCAAGTACATCAAGTCGATGTGGAACGTGCTCGATGTCGTCCAGCTTGTCTTTCTGTACGCAATGGTCTACTCGTGGTGCACGTACATGGTCGACTGCCACAGGATCTTGCCCAAGCTCGAGCACATGGTCAACGCCGTCGACTGCACGAGTGTGACGACCGCCGACGACTGCTTTGTGGACATCATGACGGTCGGGAACCACCTCGGGTTCGTCTTCAACATTAGCGCCGCGCTCGCGCTCATTAGCGTCGCGATCGTCTTCAAGTACCTTCGCCTCAACACGCGTCTCAACATGCTCTGGCGCACACTGCGCTTCGCCGCGAGCGACCTCGTGGCCTTTGTGTTCATCTTTGTGTTCATCTTCTTTGGGTACGCGGTCATGGGCTTCCTCCTCTTCGGGAACCACGTCCGCGACTACCGGTCGCTCTCGAGCTCACTGGCCGCGTGCTTTCAGATGCTCCTCGGCGCGTTCGACTACAACTCGTTTCTGGATGCGAACCCTGCGATGGCCGGCGTCTTCTTCTTCACGTTCATGGTGTCGATCTTCCTCGTGCTCGTCAACATGTTCGTGGCCATCATCTCCGAGTACTACCGCGTCGCCATGGACGAGAAGAAGCTCAACGACGAAAACAAGATGAAGCTGCTGAGCAGCGACAAGGCGTCCAAAGACACGTTTTACGACAAGGACGCCGAGTACGATCTGTGGATGCAAGCGCAACAGTACGTCCGCGGCCTCAAAGTTAAGATCAAGCTCATTGTACCGACCGAGAAGAAGAAGCAGCCACTCGCGCTCACGGGCGGCAAGTGTGTGCTCCTCGTCGACTACACATACCTTTACGCGGAGAAGGCGCGTCTCCGGGCCAAGTTTCGCGCGGCGATCCGCGTCATTCGCATTTGCATTCAGTTTCTCAGACCATTGCGCAAGTTCTGCGCTGACTTTGACCCGTCGCAGATGGCGTCGACGCTCTTCACAGAGTCGACGACGCCGCGGCCGCGCGCCAAGACGCTCCGGCACTACCTCAGCCAAACCGAGCGCGGGGACTTTCCGATCACGTACGTGCCGATCCACGCGCCGTCGGCCAAGGTCGTGCACCTCGTGAGCCAGCTGCGACCGGGCCAGATCCTCGAGATTGACGACATGTCGCTCACGAACGACCGCATCGGGCTCGAAGTGCTTGGCGATCAAATCTACTACCTCCACGAGTCGATGGGCCACTCGTCCGAGGCGATCGGGCGCGACGAGGAGTCGTTTGGCCTGCGCCACTACCACAAGGACATTGGGAGCGGGTCCCACATCCGCTGCTGCCGCGTCTTGTACCACGGTGACACGATCCTCGAGGGCCTCGAAGAGTGCATTCTCCCAACGAGTACGTGGGTGCGCCATGCCATTTTTGCGTTTCTCCGCAATCTCTGGGGCGTCATCTCGTGCCGCTGGTGGCGCCATGGCCGCGCCAAGGCCCGCAACCAAAAGATCTCGGACGACGAAATCGAGCAGCTCCTTGAAGCGCAGTTTGTGGCCTCGGCGCGCGGCTCGTCGTGCCGCTTTGACGAGCTCGTCAAGCAGTTCCGGCTCTTCCTCGCCAAGAAGGTCCAGCGCGGCCAAATCCGCGTGCCCAACAACAACCTCGAGGCGCTTGTCCAAGCCGAAGCGATCGCCTTCGTCGAGCGGTTTCCGAAAGCGCTCATGCCGCTCGATAAGCGCGAGCTCGTTGGGTACAAGTACGTGCCGTGCCCGACCGACACGAGCCACATCCGCCTTCCCAACAGCGTCTCGCGTCTCACGGAGCTCCTCGCGCAGAACGCCCACGAGGTGTGGTCCGAAGGCCGCATCAGTCAAGGCTGGAAGTGGGGACCTGCACGCGACAACGACAAGAAGCTGCACCCGGATTTGGTGCCGTACGAGGCGCTCACGGAGGAGGACAAGCAGTACGACCGAGACACGTCCATGTCGGCGCTCAAGATCATCCAAGCGCTGGGGTATATCATGGACCCGAAAACGCCGTCAACGGGCAAGACACGCAGCGGCCGGCACCTCGGGCGGCAAGGGTCGTCGGCGTCGGGGCTCGCGTCGTCGTCGTCGTCGATTGACGAGTCGGTGCTGGCGGGCATCGACGTCAATTTTGGAATCGCTGCAGAACCAGGCGAGACGTATGCGCCTCGGCCCATTGACACGGAAGACATTGAGATCCCGCCCGAGCTCAACTCGCTCGTCGAGCTCCTCGCCGAGAACACGCATGACGTGTGGGCGCAGATGCGCATGTCGCAGGGCTGGAAGTACGGTCCGCAGCGCGACGACGAGAAGCGCGAACACAACGGCCTCGTGCCGTACGTCTACCTCACGCCGGACGAGAAGCAAATGGACCGCAACACCGCGATGCAGACCGTCAAGCTCATTTTGCGCTTCGGCTTCACCTTTCGCCAAAAGCACGAAGCCAGCGTCGAGAAGAGCGCGGCGACCAAAGGCTTCACCGACAGCTCGTCGGTCAAGTTTCGGTACGTTCCACTTGCAGATATAGACTTCACACATGCGGCCAGGATGTTTGGCCGGTCCGAGGACGTCCAGGCTGAAAACGTTGCGGACGCTGCGCAATTGCTCATGGCCACGCAGCGTGCCAAGCACGTCTTCCTCTCCAAGAAGCCCAAGCGACCGTCCGCCTCGCATTTTGACGCGATCACGCGATCCGTCTCGGACGTTGACGCGTTCGACGCCAAACCGCCGGCGGGGCCCAAGTTTCGCCACTCGCTCTCCACGTCCCACATCGTCGAGGCCGCGGTTGAGAGGAACCAACGCGCCGGGCGACTGGCTTGCTACCCACGACGGCCCGCCTCCCGCTGCTTCCAGAAGCCACTACTGCGTCGACGACTACGACCGAGCATGTGGTCGACGTTGTTGATGCTAGCGAGTTGAGTGACATTGAAGTGCTCGAGGCGCTGGCGTCGCCGCGCAGCGCAAGCCAAGGCGACGTCGTCTAGGACCCCAACGACTACTAGTTGGTAGAAAAGAGGAAAAACGCGAGTAGATTTGTATCAATGTGTCAATTTGGAATGAGTGCTATCAACCCGTAAAGTACGGATAAAAGCACTCGATTAAAGTATTGGGATTGGCAAGCGATCGCACTTTATCGGGTACTTGAAGATACGGCCGACGAGAAGAGGACGATGATGATGGACGCGGAGCTCAATGCGCTCGACGAAGACGCGCTCGTACGCCGAGTGCTGGGCGACGACCATGGAGGCGACCTGACCGGCTACAAGGTGATACGCTTGGGATAGAGCTAGCATCGACGACTGACGATGCGTAGTCGCCCCAGACGAAGCAGACGCTTCTGCATCTCGCCGCCGGCCGCGGGTACGAGCGCCTCACGCGAGCTCTCTTGGCCAAGCATGTTGAGCTCAATGACCAGGTATGTTCCTTGCATTCGCTAGCGTGACACCGCTGTCGCCACTGCAGGACGATGGTGGCAAGACGGCGCTCGTCGTCGCGGTCCTCTCGGCCAACATAGCGATCTTCCGCCTCCTGGTCGACGCCAACGCCGACGTCCACATCACCGTACGTCATGTGCATGAGGCGTCGTCGACCTTCGATCCTATCTGATGCGTAGACGAGCGAGGGGTATTCTGCCTTTTACATTGCAGCCCGAACCAACCAAGCGGCCATGGCGCAGGTGCTGCTGCCGCGGCTGCACGACGGCGGCGCCCGCGTACGTCCTCTATATTCTCTCAAGCTTTCTTTACATTTTCAGGATGATGATGATGATGACGATGATGATTGTGCAGGAGCTTCTCGCAGCCCTCCATGACGCATCGCCCGACGACGCCGTGCGCTGCCTCTTGCACGCAGGCCTCTCGCGTACGTGGATACGAGTGGTCTCGGATGCAACGTCGCCTCGTAGTCGCCCGACGCGTCGCAAGCGCCGATATTTCACGCGGTGCTGGACCGTCCGAGCCTCTTGCGTGTCTTCGTAGCACACGACCCTGCCATCGTCCACCTCAAGGTAGTATGACAACGCCTGCTTCACTTCCAACGATGGCGCACTGGCAGGACCGGTACGGTCGCACGGCGCTGGCGCGAACCGCTTCGTCGGGCAACCTCGATGCGTGCCGTCTTTTGCTCCAGTTTGGGGCGAGTCTCGAGGCCAAGGTGCTTGTATTCAAGCGACAAGGCGGCTGGAGCACACGTGGTTAGGACCACCGCGGTCGCTCGGTCGTGTACCTCGCAGCTTGCCACGAGCAAGGAAGCGTACTGCAGCTCTTTGCCGCCGAGACGACGTCCGTCGCCCTCTTGGTCACCAGCAAGGTGCATCGCACAAGCGTCCGATGCTGCGATACAAGCCGTGCATAGGACGACGAGCACCGAACGCCGCTGCACGTGCTGGCCGAGCGCGGGAGTCTCCGTGGCTGCAAGCTCGCGTGCAAGTACCATGCCAAGCTCGATGCAGCGGTACTACCTATGAGCACTCGTATGCGCGAGGGCACGAGGATGCACCATCAATATAGGACATGGACGGTGCGACGCCGTTGCACATTGCGGCGAGCCTCGGACATGCCGACCTTTGTCGCTTCTTTGCAAAGCGAGACGATCTCGACTGCAACGATGCGCTCGTCTACCGACACGCGTCGGCGTCGTGGCTCGTGGTCACGACGCGCCGCCTCTTGACGATCTACAGCGAGCTCTTGTACCGTATTCTTGTCTTTCGGCCTCAACGAGACGCCTTGGCCTATGGGCTAGCGACCTCGGTGTGCCCGCGACGCTGGCGGCGTACGGCAGTCTCCGTGTACGCGACTTTGAGATGAACACGCTGCTGCACATGGCAGCACAGCACGTGAGCGACGTGCACGCCGACTACCTTTTGAACGCGCTACACCGCACGGGGAAGATCCCCATCAACGTTCTTGTATACGCCTTTGTCGAGCGAGAAAGAGCTCTTGACATGGCTTTTGAACTTGTAGAACTGCTACGGCAAGACGCCGCTTGAGATGGCGCAGCACGCCTGCAGTACCAGTGTCCTGCGCGCGATGGGCTCCAACGACATGTTGCGAACGCTTGACAGCGCCACCGCGCTCCATGAGGACGACGACTGGACCCTTTGTGCTCCCGCAAAGCTGCGGCTGCTCGTGAGTGAGATCATGGAGGGCTACTGCTACCTCGGTGACCCCGCAACGCTTGTTGTCTGCAGCGATTCGGGCGATACGATCTTGCATGCGCTTCTCGATGCGATCGAGGCCATGACACCGCGACCGACCGACGCACACCAAGAAGAGATGCTTCTGGGGCCCAACTGGCTCGCCAGCCCACATATCGGTGTCGTCGCGCAGCTGCTCGGCAAGCCGGTAGGCTTCTCCAACGCGATCGTTTGGTCGTATGCTGGATGCGTGTTGGCGTAGAACTGGACAGGGCTCGCGCCCTTGCACAAGGCCGCGGCCATCGGCGCCCTTGGTGCTTGCCGCGCGCTCGTGCATCGCGGTGCGGACGCTGCGAGTTCGGTCGGCGATCGCCTCAAGCGCCCAAGTGCGCTCTGCACGACTGGCTGGCATGCCGTCAACTTTGCCGCGTCGCTGTCGTCCGACGCAGTGCTGCGGTACTTTCTCGCCACGCCGAGCGCGCTCCCGACTGCGCCGTCGGCCGTGGCGCAGCTCAAGAGCACGGTGACATCGCAGCACCCGTCGCTTCTTCCGACGTTGCTAGCGCGCCTCGACGATGCGAGTACGACGACACCGGCCGTGCTCGAAGCCATCGCCCGCTGCGATGCGGTACACGTCCGTGCATGCGACCTGCCAAACTGATACATTGATAGTTTTACCATCCCGAGGGCCTTCCTGTCGACGACGCGAGTGCGCTTCTCGTCTTTCACATCGTTGTGGAAGCCGATCGCTGCGGTGTCGAGGCGCTTTGGCACGTCGTGTGCGCGGACTGCATCGTGCGCTCGACCGGCGACACACTCCTGCACATCTTTGCCGCCGACACGGCCCGCGACCGGACGCCCGAGCTCACGTACCTTCTCACGACCGCCAAGATGGACGTCGACACGCTCGTACGCTCTCTTTGCTTACCGCGTGTGACGCGTGCTGTAGAACAAACGCGGTCAAACTGCATTGCACGTGGCGTGCGAGCGTCACCTGCCTGGTATCTGTGCGTACTTGCTCTCGCGCGGCGCCGACGTGCGGCGCAGCTGCCGCAACGCGCCCCACTGGATGGGTACCTCGTCGATCGTCGACCGAGGGATATCCGACTCGCGGCTTCTGCGGCCAACGCTCGACGACGGCAGCGACATTTCCATGATGACGGACGAGGCGTGGCAGACGCCGCTGCACATTTGCCTTGGCCAAACGCTGCGTCGGCTCAGTTCGAGCCAGATCCAAGCCAACAATGCCGTCGTCGAGCTGCTTTTGCAGCATCCAGCGTCGCTAGTCGAGCCATCGGCCAGTGTGCCGGCCTCGTCGTCTGCGTCCTGCGCTTGGAACCGCGCCGCGTTTGACCGGATCGTGACGGATTTTGACTTTGCCCTGCCTGCGTACCTCGACCATTTCGTGCAGGTCAAGCACTGGCACGGCACGACGACATACCGCTTCCAGTGCGTGCGCGACGTGTGCCGCAACCTCGACCGTATCATGGCCACGACGGGCGAGACCGGTCGCGTCCTTTTACACCCGACCGTTCGCAACGCCCTGCGCGCCAAGTGGCACGTACGTCGTCCTTTTTCCTCTTGGCTTCATTTTCACCGAGATATCTATCGTATGCATAGCTCTTTGGTCGACGCATGTACCGCAAGGAGCTGTGCTTGTCGGCGCTCCTCCTTGCCTGCTTTACCATCTCCAACTACACGCTCGTGGCCGACGAGACACCAACCAGACGATTGTGGCCCGATGACGTTGTCGTCGTTGGCTTCAAAGGGCTCACGTGGCTCCTTGCCCTCTACCACCTTTTGTACGTTGAAATGTGGCAAGAGATGCGACTCGACGCGTCGGCGTACTGGACGTCGCTGTGGAACTACATCCACATTGCGTCGTACTTGCTGCTGCTGTTGTCGATTCCGATGGACGCCCTCGACGTCCATACGTCCATCAAGGAGTCGTGTCTCAGCGTCGCCAGCATCCTCCTCTTGTTCGGGCTCCTCCAAGGGCTCCTCGTCTTCTCGTACTTCTCCGTGCTCCTCTTTACGTTCTCGCGCATGCTCAAAGTCGCGCTCAAGTTTTGCCTCTTGTATGCGATCCTCCTCGTGGGCTTCACCGCGGCCTTCTACCTCGTCTTTCACGGCGTCGCCGGCCACACGAGTCTCCGCGAGACGTTCGTGACGGTCTTCTTGATCATGTTTGGCGAACTCAACTTCCACGACGTCTATGGCGCGACTACCAACAGCGTCCGGTATACCGCCGGCCTCCTCGTGCTTGTCACGTACCTCCTTTGCGTCAACATTGTCGGCCTCAACATGCTCATCGCCATGATGACGGCCGAGTACGACAGCATCAAGAGCCAAGCCCAAGTGCTCGCGGTGAAGGAGCTCGCCAACACGCTGCACCGGTACGAGGCGTGGCTCGGCCCCGCGTCAGTCGAGCGACTCTATGCGTCCGAGACGCTCGGGTCGTTCGCGTCGTACGCCGAAGCCGCCACGACCATCTCGCGGCCGGCGGACGACGGCAAGACAACGTCGCAGGCTGAAAACCTCAACCTCCAGGCGGAGCTGCAGCAACTCGCGGGCCGCCTGCACGAGCTGAGTTCGGACGTGCGAGGTAGCGTCGCCAAGGTCCTTCGCCTCGAGGAAGTTGTGCACGAGCACGTGACGGCGCAGCACGAGTTGCTCGCATCGATTTTGGAGCATCTCCAACGCCCCAGTGCAACGTAGCGATGGATAAGGGATTAGATAAAAGAACGGTTTAGTTAATCTTCGCGTTGGAGCGTAAAGCCCTTGCCGAGCTGAATGTACTCGAGCTCCTTGCGCACATGGTGGCCCGTGAGCATCGGCGGGTACTTGTCCAGAGCCTCTTGCGTCGCAAAGCGGCCAATGGGCTGGAGCACATCGTCCGAGTTGATGTGCGAGAAGAGCGTCGACGACACTCGCCAGAGGCTCTTGCCCATGGCCTTGCGCGTCGCAATGTCTTCCAGCGTCTGCTCCGTCACGACGACCTCGTGGAAGCCCGCGACGAGGTACCCGCCCGTGAGGTACTCGATCTGCTTGCCGGCCTGCACGAGAAGGCACCCATCCGGCACGCGCACGAGCGCCTTCTCGCCGTTGCGGAGCCAGATGTAGAGGCCGCGGAAGCGCGACTTGCCGTGGATCGTGAGCAGGTTGAGATCGTAGTGGTAGCCCGCGAGCACGTCGTTGAGGTTGCCGTACTTGGCAAAGTTGCTGCCCGTCGGCGCGAGCAAGTGCGGGCCGTACTGCATGCGCTTCTGGAACGCGTCCTTCTCGAGGCCAAGGCCGATCGCCGCCATCTCGACGAGCTCGTGGACCGCCGCGAGCATCTTCGAGCCCCACATGTCCATGGTGGGGACCCATTCCGGGAACGCCGCAGGCACCACGGGCTCGGCGTTGAGCTCCGTAAACTGCGTCGTCTACGCCGGATGTGAGACGATATTGTCGTCAATGATGCAGAAAGGGGAGGGTACCGGCGGGCGGGGACCCGTGCGCCAGAAGAAGCGGCTCTTCTTGTCGAGCTCGGGCGGGCACAACGTCACGGGCTGGTGCTCCTTGGCGAGGGCTTCAGCGCGCGAGCAGTGGTTGCGCGCACGCTCCTGATGCTCGGGCGTGACGCCGACCTGGTAGCTCAGCTCCGGGCGCGCGTCCTGGGTGAAGTCCGTCTGCTCAAAGTAGCGCTCCATCATGTCGACGAACGTATTGTTGTCGGCTTCGGTCGCGCGCTAATACGATCAGAAATCAGTCCCAGGCGGTCGAAGCGAGGAAGGACGCACCGGGTCGCGAACGACGAGGACGCCGTACTTGTGCAAGCAGTCGGCGACGACGTTGCACTGGTCGATGCCGTTGGCGCGGTCGGCCATGTACTTGGCGAGGTCAATGACCGGGAGGTCGGCGATCTGGACCATTCTTCTTGTCTTGGACGGCAAAGTGGAAATGACGATCGTGAGACGACCCTTTCCAAGGCTTCCAGGGATGGCCACCGGCTGGCGACGCTGGGTCAGTATTGTATTATGTATCCTTCATCTAACGTTTGTATGCTGAATTGCATTTTGGAATTAAAAAGTGCTGTTGCCGGCACAGGCAACCAGATAATTTTGAAGCGCCGCTTCAAGTGGAGAGTGGGACGTTGTTGCCTTAATTGCCACGTGGTGCGTCCAAGCCGGTGGCCCCAAGCGCTGCGGCAGAGACACGGTGTCGACCCGCGAAGGACCTTGGCCGAGATGGCTCGGCAATTGAAGAACGAGTCGTCTATTCGCCGTCGATATCGTGCAGTGCTGGTCAAGATACCATCATCCAACCGGTCTGCCATCCCATCGGCGCTTGCTCTTCTTATTACCGCGCAAGGATGCCTTATGACGTGGCAGGCTCCAGGATCGTGTTCTCGCCAGGAGCTTGAGGCTTGGCGCGATGGCAGGTGGTTGCAGGACGAGCTGGCTGCTTGGAGCCAGGTAGCTACCTCGAAGTGCATGCAATCGGAATCGATGCATGATCATTGCAGGTCATCCAGTAGACACGCTTTGCTCGCACCCGGGGGAGCTTCCAGTACGCAGGTACTTGTACTCTAGAAGAGTCGCTCGTGGCCGCCTCGGCGTCTCTATTAGTGAGCGAGCGCATGGGTAAAGGGCGAGCACGTTTGGCAGCCTCTTGACAAGAAGACGGTAGCTATCCTGCTCACGCCAAGGCGGTGCCAAACGCGATCTTTTCGTGCTGACCGCTGCCCGCCGAGTAAAAGTGCGTCTCCTCCACGTACCAGATCGCGTCAATCTCAACTCGTTGGCCCGCGAGCTCGGCCGTGAGCTGTTTGCAGCGGGCGATGGCCGCCGCCAAGCACGCCGGCGACACCGTGTCGGTGAGCACGCGCGAAAGCGTCGAATGGATGATGTGGTTTGGGTGGCGAAGCGCAGATCCGAACGTCGCCTTGGCGCGGCTCCTGCGACAAGCATCATCAATGTTGCGTCATTATCATCCGAAGAGATGCGGCATATTAGTACCGGAGGTGCTGGACGGCGTTGGTCGGGTCTTCAAAAAGCAGCAGGACAGTGCCGGAAGCCGCGAGGATCACACTGTGGATCGTCAAAGCAAACGCAGGGGTACTCGATATGAGCGCCTTGAGCGTTCGCACCTCTGCATCATCATCGAGCCTTCCATCATGGCTCATGTACGAGCGGGCCAGTACCTTCGGCGCGGAGGGCGGGCGAAAAGGGCAAGCAGGCGTCCGGGTGCGAAGTGTGGAAGAGCGTCACATGCATCGAGGCTTCCGTGTTGACATACGTCTGTGTTGCGGTTTCCGACTCGAAGATGGCTGCGATCTCTTCGCCAATGCGCCGGCTGAGCGCTGCCGCCGCCTAGTTGTCGTAAGTTGTCGCCAGGGTGCTGTCATAAGGTCGTACCGCTGGCAGAGGCGAGCAGATCAAGCGGACAACGTCCGCCTCGCCCAAGAGCGGGTACGGCATTGGCGTTGGCGACGGCACCGTCGGTGGCAGAGCAAAGTTGGCGCTAAAAATCGTCTCCATGAGCCACGCAATCTTGCAATGAGGTGCACGCACGCCACGGAGAGGATTTTGCGGCCGTCAAAGGCGGCGACGGGCGCCGTCATGTCGGCGTACACGTCCGCGCGCTCCTTGGCGTAGTCGGTCATTTAGCTCGTTTCGTGCGAAAGTTACAAAATGAATTCGGCAGTGGATTTTTCGACGCTGTGCAGCGCCACGCTGCAGGCGCGTGCACCATATGGAGGCGTGCTTGTCGTTGCTTTTCGGCGTGTTTTTTCTCCCAAAACAAAGGCGAAAAAGTACTGGAGGAACCGGGGGTCGAACCCGGGGCCTTCCGCATGCAAAGCGGACGCGCTACCACTGCGCTATACCCCCATATGGTGTTACAGTAACTTTTTAACGTACTAAAGAGCAACTGTATTTTGGATTAAAATTGGATGGCGCTGCACTTTGCGCACCGCAATTCGCAGCGTGGACATATTATTGTTGTATATGATGTACACTATTGTCTTTAATAGAAATCGCAGCAAGAGTGTAGAGAGACACGCGGTAGCCGATGGAGGTTAGATTGTCCAGAAAGGCTCGCGGATGGGGTCGGGGCATAAAAATATCGCACGGCAATACAAACACCAAGGTGCAATAAAACAATGAATTGTATGGGATATTGACTGGGAAACGGTTTGTGATTGGAAAACAGCAGCATGCGCTGGTACTGCGTCTCGCCGTCCTTGCCACGGGGCGCGCAGCTGCGCGTGCGAGCGGCGCCGAGCGCGTCCGCGGACGAGACGTCGGCGCTGCGCCTGAGCATCTCGGACATCGTCGCGGTCTCGTCGGCCCCGACGCCCGGCCGCCCATGGCTCCGCGTCCTCTGGCAGCAGCAGGAAGGCCATGTCATGGCGACGACGCCCGACGACATGCCACTTCTAGTGCCATGGGAAACGACGGCGCTGGAGCACATTGTGTTCGCCAACCCCGAGACGCCGCTGCGCCACGCCAAGACGAACGAGCTCATGCTGCTCGAGACCGACGCGTACCTTGGCGTGATCGCGACAAGCGACGAGACGCTCCTCGTCATGTACCAAGGCGACCAGTTCTACGCCTGCGCAAGCGACACGATTCCGATGGCCGAGCGCATCGCCGACGGCATGCGCTTCCTCATGAACCCGACGCTGCCCGAGAACGCGACGATCGTCGTCCGGCAGTGGCCCGACCGCGAGAGTGACCAAGTCGACGTCATCACGCAGCACCAAGAAGTGACAGGCGAGATTCGGTCGGGCGACTGGATCAAGCTCCACGAGCAAGCGTGGGTCATGTGGAAGCTCTCGCACCACAACAACCTGCAGCTTTTGCAACCCGCCCACATCGTTATGCAGGAGACCCTCGAGATGCCAGACAACGATGACATCGACACGGCAAGTGACGCGCCGCCTGCTCTAAGCGAACCGGCACCAGCCGTAGACGAAAGCCAGACTATTGACGAGCGGCCTCCACAGGCCGTGCTCGCGAAGCACGAGTCGTGGGACGATCGGCCCATTCGCCCGGCCGGGCTCGAAACAATGGCTTCGCTGATCGAGGAGCCTGTGGTGTCTGTGCTTGCACCTCCTGTCTCGTATGAAGATCGCCCGATCCGAGCGCCATCGACGAGCCCTGCCTTAGTCGTCGAACAGGCTGACCCCGTGCACATGGAGCCGACGGCTAGCGATGATGCGCCGGCGTCACCCTCTGCCGTCGCTGCGTGGGACGATCAACCGATCCGCAGCGCATCTGCCAAGGACGCAGTAGAAATGAGCGTCGAAACTGCGCGGACATGGGACGACCGGCCTATTCAACCAGCGGCTAGCGCGTGGGACGACCGGCCGATCAAGCCAGCGCCAAATGCCTTCTTGGACGCGCGGCCAGCGGCCACGAACGATCCCCCGATGGATGCAGCAGCCTCGTCCTGGGATGACCGTCCAATCAAACCCGCGACCGTGGTCGAGAAGGATGCGCTGAGCGACGAGCAGCCCGAGACGAATTCTAGCCACTCTGCGACGCCCAACCAGAGCCCGACACAGGCTAACTGGTCGTTGTCGATGGAGCCACCGCAAGATGCCACGACGACGACGTCCGAGAGCCCGATGGACGACACGACGCGGGCAATGAGCAGCCCACCGATCAGCGGTAGGCACGGCGTCGATCCTTCTGTTATATGTATGTGCGTGTAGGCTCACTCGACGTCGACAAGATCGTGTCACGGGAGACGCGGTCGAGCAGTGCGTGCAGCGACTGGGAGCCGCTCGTGCTGCGTCGCCGGAGCTCGTTTGAAGAAGACGCGCCGATCGTCACCAACCAAGTGCCAGACTTCGCGGCCGCGCACGCCGAGGACGACGACGAGATTCCGTTGCCCAAGTACGCGTCGCGCTTGGACGAGATGCTAGCGGAGCTCAGCGACGTGAGCATGATGTGGCTCCTCCAGCTCGACCTTCTCGAAGAGCTCTTCCACCACTTGGAGCTCCACGGGCTTAGCGTCCCGGAAATGAAGCGCACGATGGAGATGCTCGAGATCAAGGCCAACCATGCGCTGCACGCCAAGGTCCTCCCCTCCTTCCTGCGGCTCATGCCGTTCGTCAAGAGCTTTATGGCGTCCGCGGGCGACCTCCTCGCACCGCACATGGAACATTTGCTGCCACCCTTCTTCTCGCTCTTCCAAGTACGTTGTCGTCTCGATGGTGGTCATTGCTCATATGTTTGGTGGGTAGGAACGATCCAAAGGCGCGATCGCATCGCTCGAGGCGCATTTACACGACTGGTTTGACATCCTCGACATCGTCTTGGTGCTCAACAGCCTCGAGACGGCCGTCGTCGACTTGCACATGACGGAGCTGGGCACCGCGCGTCTCGTCACGTGGTTTGCGGGCGCGATGCCGCGCACCAAAGGCGTCCCAAGGGCCAGCCCGCGCCTCTGCGACGCCCTCGTGCAACTCACGAGCCATCGCGCGACCAAGGTCCGCGACGCGTCGACGCAGATTTTGACCAACATCCTCGGCCATTACGACGGCGCGTCTGCCCCGTCGTGGCTTGCAGGCGGTGCCCCCGAGACGCTGGCGGAGATCGTCGCCGACAAGTTTCCGTCGATTCCAATCGTCGCGTCACCGCCCAAACCATTGCTCGTCCACGACAACGATACGGCTCTCGCACCCGCCAAGCCTCGACCCTCGCTGCCGAAAGGCAAGGGTCTGGAGCGCAAGGTCAACTTGGAGAAGAGCGGCGTGCTCAAGCCGTGGCAGCGCAGTGCCGACGACGCACCCGCCGAGCGCAAGCCGTGGCAACGAACCAAGCCATCCGACGCGGATCAAATGCAAGCAGACGGCGCCGCCTTACTGCCACTCGACGACGCTACGACCTCGCCGACGGTTGTTGCATCGTCGGTGGACAAGGTAACAACGACCGACGGGACGGACGGTGCGATGAACAAGGTGTCACCGATGGCGACCAAGCCATGGGTGCGAAAAGCCACGCCTGCACCAAGCAGCGACACTGGTGGCGCGGTGGCAGCAGAGAGTGTTGACGTGAGCCCGACCGCGTCGACGGCCAAGCCGTGGCTTCGTGCGAAAGCGGCGCCGTCGCAGAACGACATCAGCGATGACATCGTGGTCGCGGCATCGCCCAAGCCACGGCGGGTCGCAACGACGAAGGACGAGACGACGCCGGTGATGGATGAGTTGCCGATGGACTCTGCTTCCGATGTCATTGAGCTGGAGCCAACGCTTGCGGTCTCCGAGACACCGACGACTGTGACGGATGATATGCCTCTGGCCGACACGATCTCCGAGACACAGACCACCGAGACACAGACCACCGAGACGGACGAAGCGCCAGTAGAAGAGGTCGTCGATGGGGACATCTTGGACGACAGCGCCGAAGACCTCGTTGTCTTTGATGACGACCCACCTGCCATCGAAGAAGCCAACCCGGTGCTCGGGGACGTCGTGCCCTTGGACGTGGCCGGGTTTCGCGAAGAAGAGTCGGCGGACGAAGATGTCGGTGCCAAGCAAAGCTGGTTCTTTGTCGATGAACACGCCGAGGATGACGACGACGACGACGAAAGTGACGGGCCTCCACGCCGCACTGCAATGCTCGGCGACAGTGACAGCGAAGGAAGCATCCACGCCTTGTCGTGGGAGGCGTCTCCGCGCGTGACGGTGCCCGTACTCGGCAACACCGTCTACGACATCCTCGGCAGCCACCCGCTCGAGTACTTTTCCCTCGAGCCGCCCTCCGACACAGCCGTGCTCTCGCACCACATCATCGACGCTCAGGTGTACGACACACCCGACGAGCCGCCTGCACCCGCCGAGGAAGACGTTGTCGATGAGATGGCACCCGCGGCCGCCGAGGACGATGCGGCAGAGATGGTTCCAGCGACAGCGGACGTTCCCGTGGACGACGAAGCCACGGACGACGAGCCTCCGATCAGCCTCGCGCCAAAGGATGCTGTCGATGACTTTGAGATCGAAGCCAGCGCGTCTTTTGACGATATCGAAAAGGACAAAGCCATCACGGTCGACAGTCCTGTGAGCAGTGGACGACAGCCGGTCGACGACCTCGACGAGATGTGGCCAACGATGGACCACGACGAGGACACGCCCGGCGAGGCTGCGGTGGACACGCTGCATCTGAAAGCGGATGACGAAGCTGCAACGAGCGATGACGAGGCACGCACGAGGTCGATCGGTGCCGCTACTGCGTGGTCTTCTTACCGCAATGTCGTAGTTTCTTCCGCGGGCGCTTTGCCAGTGACTTTGATGAAATGTTCCCCGAAGATGACGAGTACCTCGACCGCGTCGACGACGGCTGGAGGTACGAGGTCCATGATGTGAAGCAGCGTTCGATGTGGGGTGCTAGTCGCGTGCACAGTCGCCGCAACAGTGATGTGTCGAGTGGCGGCGTCGAGTGGCACAAGCACGACGTCGTCCTATTGCCGCGCGCTTCGATCGTCGAAGAAGGCAACGAAGACGACGAGTGCGAGCCGTTCGAGCCCGAGGCCATCGACCGCGCAGGGTTCTTTGATGGTTTCGAGACGGAATTTCCGACGCCGTTGGACGCGACCGACGCCATGGAAGCGCTCTACGTGCCGCTGGGTTGGTGGATCCAAGACTGCCACGACCTCCTCGCGTCGTCCGAGTACGCGCGCGACACCAATTCTCGCCGAGCTGCAACGTCGTGTGTTGTAGGTACGACTCGCAGGCGTCGCTGGCCGAGTTTGACAGCGCGTTCTGCATGCTGGATGTCTCGTTCGCGCACCTCGAAGGCGACGACGACGCCTTCTTCTGGGACGACCCGATCGGCGATGACATTGTCGTGTCGCCCGCCGACTGGGCCGCCGTCATCGCGTACCAGCTCAACTGGCAGCGGGCGAAAACCGCGCTCCTCGAGGACTTTGCGACCGCGATCGAAATCCTTATGCTGCGCGACCGGCAGCGCAAGGACGACGAGGCGGCGTGGGCCGCGGCCAACGACGCGCCGACCGAGCAGCGCTCCAAGTCGATGACCGTGCGTCGGTCGTCGGTGTACGGGTCGCTTCCGAAACGACGGTCCGAGACAACGCTGCAGAAACCCGTGTCGCTGGCGCCAACGCCCTCGGCACTCCTCATGCCGCCGCGCATTCGCACGTCCGTGTCGACGACCAACCGCACGCCGTCCGAGACGTCGTCGACGACGTCGTCGCGGCCCGAGTCGCCGGTCTCGTCGCGGTCGGGCTCTCCCAAAGCGCTCAAGAAGACGCCCGAGTCGCCGCGCCAGATGCCACGGCCACGCGCGTCGTCGAGTGCCGTACCCAGTGGGGTGCGCAAACCTGTGACGGCGTCGGCGCTCGCCCCGCCAACGCGATCGCTTTTGCAGCCGCCGACGACGACGCTGACGCGGTCGCGAAGCGTGAGCGCTGCGCCTCAAATTCCTGCGCCGCGCCTGTCGACGACGGGGCTGCGGCCGCCCGGCAAGTCGTCGCTCCGTGCCCCCGCGAGTCGCATGAGCCTCCCCAAGCCCGTGACCAAATTGTGAATGAACGTAGGTACCCTCTTTGTTTCGTCGTCGTCGTCGTCGTCGTGTGCGCAGGCGAGGTCCCCCGCATCGCTCTCTTCTCTGCGGGTGACATGGCTTTTGCACCACGTCATCCGTGTCATCAGCATGGCGTCTTCCAACGTTAGTCGTCCATTCTTATGTTTCCCAAAAGACTCGGTCGAGCGGTGTGGTTACCGGCCGGTAGCTGCCACAGCGTGAGACTGTCTCGTCGCCTTTGCTTTGAAATGGCGTTGGTTGCAGACGCACCGCTGCCGATGAGAGTAGTGGGAAGAGCAGGTAGTATAGTTCATGCATCTGCTGCGATGGGTGGCCGAAGTGCAAGAAGGCTCAAGTATCAAAATGGAAGGTTCCATCGAACGTTCGGTGACCTCGTGGCGGATCGATGCGACGGAGGAAGACACGTCTGCGACGAGGGCCAGTCGCTTCGGTCATATGCGCTAGCATGGGATCGGAGGCGTCCATCCTGCTGGGACTGACTGCTTTCACGACGAGGCCAAGCAGATGCAAACGCAGTAATACGGAGAGTCTCGAGGTATATAGATAATACAGCGGTCGTGCTTAAAAGTAGAGCGCGCCGGTGCCATCGAGGAGCCATGGCACCGTGATCATCTCTTCGCGGTTGAGATGGTCGATGAGGCCGTGGTAAAACTCGGCGAGTGCGGCAAAGTCGCCGGTCATGACGCGCTTCTCGAGCACGACGAGGTTGCGGTGGTCGGCTTCGAGCTGCCGGATCTCGGGAATGAACTCCTCGTGGCCTTCCTTGAGGCGCGGGAACCACGCGTGGTCCTCAATGCTGTGGTGGTGGTGCAGGCTGTTGTTGAGGTGGCGGAACTTGGTCTTATCGACCTCGCGCTTGGCCTCGCACGCACGCATGAGGCGCTCGAAGCCCGACCGGTAGTACGGGTGGATGTCCTGCACGAGGTGCGCGGCCATGCCGCCCCAGCGCGGGTGCTGCTTCCAGAGGACCACGATCTCCTTGTGCACCTGGGCGGTCACCGCGCGCCGCTCGGCCACGTTCTCGATCGCCCGGAACGCTTCGTAGCGCTCGAGCACCGGCATCGCGATGAGCTCCTCGATCGAGTACGTCGACGACATGGTGAAGGGTGTTGTTGTACTTGGAGGCGAATTCGCAACTGCGTGGCATGCGGACGTGACAAAAAAAGTGCACCGAACGGCAACAGCATACAAACGCCCAGTCAACCACGATCGCCAGCCGGCGGCCGACCACCGACCATCGCGACGACGAACGCGATATCGCATGCGGAGGCTCCCCGACGTCCATCATCGCAGCGCAGGCGGCTCGGTGCGTGGACGCTGGCCAGGAGGCGTGGACCATGGTCCAGCGTCGCCGTGTTTATGTGCTTGCCGTGTGCGTTTTGTCCCAGCAGACATGGGTTCGCCGACGCATAGACTACGTCGACGAGCACTGGCTCGGCCGTCGCTTCTACCGCACGCCAGCAATCGCTGCGGACGTTTGGTGTATCTCGATGTCCGGGACAGGCGATACCTACGTTACCGTACCCACGCCCAGCGTCTCAACTTTAACGCTTCCACGGCCATGCTAGCAGGCCATGCTATCCGCTGTGCATGGCGTACTAGCAGCCACGCATGACATGCGGCACATCGTTGGCCGATCGACGTGTGTGTCAAGCTCAATCCGCCGCCGATCGAACGCGCCACCATGCGAAGAAACGTCTTGCGCGAGCGAGCCGTGCCCTGGCTCCACCACGTCATCGTCTATCATACTGCCTGTTCCATGCCACAGCTCCGCATGCTCTCATGACGATGCATGCGCTCGCGTCGCCGCCTGCGCTCTCACCGCGTCGCCTCGCAAGATCTGGCGGGCCGTTCGGTGCCAGCTTGGTAAAAAAGACAGTGTTTCAGTATCCGGCCGTTCGAAAAACCGGCCATTTCAGCGCAGCCACAAACCAAGATTTCGATGCGAAGCGCGATCGTCTACGTGGCGCTGGCGCTGGTCCTGGCGTCCATCGGCGCCGTCCAGTTCGACGTCAAGCGGCGCGCGGAGAAGTGCCTCAGCGACGAGGTGGCCGCGGGCTCGCTCGTCGTCGTGCACTACAACATCCTCGGCAACGTCAAGGGCCGGACCGGCGTCTCGCTCCTGGTCAAAGACCCGATGGGCAAGTACCTCAAGGAAGACTCGGACATTGACTTGACAAGCGACGACATCCACAAGTACTCGTTCAACGCCGAGACCGCGGGCACGTACTCGACGTGCTTCTTCAACTCGAACGACTTTGTCGCGCGCGTGTCGCTGGATTTCAAGCACGGCGTCGAGGCCAAGGACTACTCGGACATTGCGAAGCGCGAGCATTTGATGCCTGTCGAGAAGGAGCTGCGCAAGATGGAAGACACGGTCGACGAGATCCATCGCGAGATGCTCTACATGCGCGAGCGCGAGGCCGCCATGCGCAACACGAACGAGTCGACGAACGCGCGCGTGCTCTGGTTTAGCTCCTTCTCCATCTTTGTGCTCCTCGCCATGGGCCTTTGGCAGGTCATGTACCTCAAGAAGTTTTTCAAGTCCAAGAAGCTCATTTAGACGCGATAAGTGGACGGTGAATGTAGCGTGCATGAACCACGTCTTCTTGTTCGTCCTGTGTCCGTTGGCGGATCGCCATCCAATTTGATCGTACAGAAACGGCCTTTCTTAGCGTTTTCTTATCAACCAAGCACATGCCACCGCCGCCAACGTACTCGAGCGCAGAGCTCGCATCGCTTTTCCATTCCGTGGCCAAGCACGTGGAGGACCTCAACCGGCGCGACGCCGTTCTCGTCCGCGTCTCTGCGCCGTCGGACGCGCAGATCGCTTCGTGGATTGCCCACGCCGAGTCGTTCCAGCCCAGCAAGCACCCCGTTTCGGTCGCGACGCCGAGCCCAACGACAGAGGTTCCTCGTCCTCTGCATCCATTTCATCTCTCATGGGAGCGCAGGCGCCCGGCTCGCCTACGGAGCGTAGCCCTCCGCGCGGCAGTCGGCGGGCCAGGGGCAGCCAATTCACGCTCGTCGCGGGCAAGCAGCGAGCGATCTCCGTCGCGGAGCTGTCCATGTACGCGCCGCCAGTTGATCCGCTCGTACAAGTCAATGCATTAGGGTCAAGGCGGTGATGCGGCACCGCAGCCTCGAACTCGCGCACGCCAAGCGGCGAAACGACAAAGAAGGGGACGAGAAGCAGAAGTCGGCACCGCGCCACCGCCGCAAGGCGGTTGTCGCGAGCCATGTGAGCATGGCCAAAGCGTCGGCCGTACGTCGTCGCTCTACCTCTCTCTGCTACGACCATCGCACCCTTTGAATCTTAGACGGCGGGCAAGCAAGCGCTCATTTCCGAGCTCATTCACGCCACGTCGTTTACGATGCAGGATATCTTCCAGATGAGTTGTCAATTCAAGGTCGCTCGATTCCAAGCGCAGACGATGATATACGTACTAGGAGCTCGCCATGGCCAACGGCACGATCACCAGCGACAACTTTAGCACCATTATCGGGTATGCAAGTCGGCTTATGGAGTCCCATCCATGTCGCTTGCAGGAGCCATTTGGGCAAACTCGTGTCGGGCGTCAACCTCGTGTCCGAGCAAGGTGTCTCGTCCATTGGCGAAACCATTTCGTCGTCGGCGTCACTCATTAGCCGCCTCTACCATGTCTTTGACAAGGACGGCAATGGCACGATCGATTTTCGAGGTAATTCTGGGTTTTTGAAAACGAAAAATGGACAATATTGTACAATGTAGAATTTATCATCGGCCTCAACAGCCTCGTCCAAGGCTCGCTCGAGCAAAAGCTCGACGCGCTCTTTGTTGTCTACGACAAGGACGGGAGCGGTGCGTTCGATTGACGACGTGCAACCACCACCGGTTGGATTTAGGCACGATCTCGGTCTCGGAGCTCGTCTTGATTCTAAACGGCGGTCAAGAAAAGATGAGCCAGCTCGTAGGACATACGTCGAGTGACGCTTGATGAGAGGACGGCGACGACTAGGCAGTCTACATGGACAACTATTTTGCGACCGTCGACACGAACGGGGACAACGTGGTAGGATGCCAGCGTCGGCCACTGCGTCCATCACGAAAGCATACAACTAGATCACCGAGGACGAGTTCTTGGCCGCGACCAGTGTCGAGCCGCTGGTGCTCGATGCGCTCACCAAGTCCCTCGCCTTCAGCCGCCAAACCGGCTACCAAGTGCGACAGGTGCGCACTCGTGGCAAGTTTAGTGCGGCAGACATGGATAGAGCCTGCGCTGCTTTTGCGACCGCGCTAAACTCGACTGGGCAGCGATGCTCTCGATGCTCGAAGACGTCAACGACTCGACGCGCATCGAGGTCGAGGCCAAGCACCTTCGCCGCCGGCTTAGCACGGGCACCTCGGGGTACGTGGCGCCGCCTGCCCCGCTCCGCGTCGACCAGTTTGAGCACATGCTGGCGTCGTACTTTCACGACCAGCTGCCTGAAGACGCAGCCCTCTTGCACGAGCTCTCGACAGCGTACGCGCCGACGGGTGCAGCAACTATGCGCGATGTGAGGTGGCAGCAATATGACAACTTGTAGAGGCGCACGGGAAACTGAACGCGCGCGAGTTTCTCGGTGACGTCGCCGGGTATCTCTGGTACGGTCTCCTTCGTTGCAGACACATTGGACAATAGACAATGTGGTGGATGTAGGTCACTGCTCTTGGTATAATCTACCTCGTGCACTGTCGTTTCGACAAGGACGTAGAACTCGGGGCATGACGAGTGCTGCGCTCGGTTTTACTTTCGGTTCTACGACTACGACAGCGACGGGTGCATCACGCGCGAAGAGTTGAGCAGCGTCGTCTGCGCGAGGTCCACCACGCATTGTCGTCTCTGTCGAAACGAAGAATGGCAAGTGTTGGGTGTAGCTTTGGGGCCATGGGCCAAGACTTGCTCGACACGATGAAGCTGCTCCAGGAGATCGATACCAACGGCGACGGCGAGCTGAGCAAAGAAGAGTACCTCGAGGCCGCCAAACGCATCCCGATTCTCCTGGCCTCCATTTACATTTGCATCTAACACATCGAACATGGAAAAACGACTCGATGAGGAGACAGATCCTACCGATTGATGCAACAGAAGTTGAGCCATCGTGTAAGAAAATCGCTGGCGACTCGATGGTTTAACGAGAGCAACCGCAACCATCTCGAGTCGGTGATCCCCAACGAGGTGCCCTCCCGATGCACAAAAGTGGCCCAATCCTTTAATTTCACGAGGTAAAAAGACGATATGGGTGGAGGTTTGAGTTTCAGTTTGTGCTGTCCAACGTCGACAACACAATATCTATCTGCGATCGCCGACCAAGCACTTTCAAGTCCTTCTCGTATAGAGTCGATCGATCGTTTCTTGCCTTAGGGCTTGGGCTTCTCGTCGGCTGCCCGGCGTTGCACGAGCGCCTGTACCCAGCGCACGAGGTGCAACGGACCGTGCTGCTTGGCGAGGCGTACACACTTGCGCAATGGCAGCTCATGCCGATGCTCGCAAAGCCATTTGAAGACGTGCGGGTGTTCTTCGAGGAGCGCGGCCTCGACCGCCTCGATGCTACAGCCTTCGCTTCGATGCTCGTGGAGCCACCGCAGCACATGCAGGTTCCCGGCTTCGGCCGCACGGTTCATCGCCTTCTTGGTGGTTCGCTCCCCTTGGTCTGTGAGCCAAGCCACGAGAGGCACATGGCCGTACTCGCAGGCGAGCGCGAGGGCGTTCGTCGTGCATCGCTCGGGCCGATGCTCGTACCACCACTGGAGGAGGCGGAGGTGGCCGGCGCGAATGATCACATCGACAACGTCCGGCGAGCAGCCTTCGGACCGGTGCGTGTGGAGCCAGTTCACGACGTCGATATGGTTGTGACGCGCTGCCCAGTCCATTGCGTCCGTCGTGCAGCCCTCACTTCGGTGCTCGTGAAGCCACTGCACGATGCGCAAGTGGCCTTGTTCGGCCGCATACGCCATCGCATCAATCGTGCATCCTAGGACGACCCTCTCAGACAACCGCTTCTTAGAGAACTACGCACCTTCGGTGCGGTGCGTGTGCAGCCAGACCAGCGCCTCAAGCTGGTTGTTGGTCGCCGCCGTGTCCATGGCGTCGGGCGTACACCCGGCATTCGTGTGCGTGTGCAGCCAGTCGAGGACATGAACATGGCCTTTCTCGGCCGCAAACTCGATCGCATTGGTCGAGACGCCTTCAATGCGGTGCGTATGGAGCCACTCGAGCATTGGGAGGTTGCCGCGCTTGGCCGCGCCGTCCATGGCCGCGGTCGTGGCGCCCGCGTCGTGGTGCGTGTGCAGCCACTCGACCACGTCCAAATGTCCGTTTTTGGCGGCGAGGTCCATGGCCGCAGTCGTTGCGCCTTCGTCGCGGTGCCGCAACAGCCATTGCACAATGGGTAGAAAGCCGTTCTCGGCCGCAAAGTCGACCGCGTCTTCCGTGCAGCCTTCGGTCCGATTCGCATGGAGCCACTGGAGAACGTGCAAATGCCCGCAGTTGGCGGCCCAGTTCATCGCGTCCGTCGAGCAGCTCTCGTACCCATGGGTATGCAGCCACTGAAGCATCTCGAGGTGGCCACCTTCAGCCGCATAGTCCATCGCATGGCTGCACTCGCCGAGCCCATGCGCATGCAGCCATTTAGCCACACTCAAGTTGCCGCCCTTGGCCGCCGCGTCCATGAGGCAGCGCGGCACGTCGGCGTCGGCGGCGAACGTCGTCGGAAGGCTCTCCAGAATCGACACGTAGCCCTGCTCGGCGGCCTCGTGGTACGTCACGGCGGGAAGCAGCATGTCGGGGTACTGCGCGCGAAGAAAGTTCAATATGTCGAGGCGGCCACTCGTGGCAGCGTTCGAGAAGGCGTCGGCGCTACAACCGTCGACGCGGTGCGCATGTAGCCACACGATGGCGTCCATGTGGCCACCGAGGGCGGCGCCGTCGATCGCGGCCGGCGACCCCGTGAGCGTATGGAGTGGACTGGCGTGGAGCCACTGAACGAGCGCAAGGTGGCCATTCGCAGCGGCGATATCCAGCGCATTCGTATCGCGGAACGCCAGGCGAGGCGCGTACTGGACGACGAGAAGGTACCCTCGCTGGACCGCGCGGTCGCCGTCTTCCCAGTCGGCGAGGCGCAGACCGGGTGCGTAGCGGAAGACTTCGCCCAGGAGTGCTGGGCTTAAGAGGACTTGCGCGGTGACCGGGCCGAGCGTCGGCTTGGCGTGCTTGGCAACGGGCTCGGCCATCGTTCGCGTCCAAGATCTCGCTGTGCCATGTAACCGGATTATCCGGATACCGCCGTTGCCAAAATTCGAAATTCGAAAGTGGTCTACATCGACTTGACACGTTGAAGGAGCTCATCAAAAGATCCAAGCTAGCTCCTCCTAAAGCCGCTCCAGAGTGTGGACTTGTGGGGTACAGGGTGCTGCGTACGAGCTTGGTGGCGTGAAGTCAGACAATGTATGTAAAATCGCTTCTGGTCAATTTGGACGAATCAGTCGGGTCGTAAAAGCTGCCCGTGGGAATTTTATAAAATCGCAAGATTCCAAAACTCGTTGGCGCCAGAAACGCGTTGGTTCAAGTTGAAGAGACAAAGATATGTCGTTCCATTCCCGCTAGTTCAGTTGATATTTAACAATCCCATCTCATATATTGATTCAGCAGCATCATGCGTGGTCCGGAGCACTCGGAGCAAATGCGCCACGCCGTTATTTCCAGGGCCGCCGACGGCAAGACGCAGCGCCAGATATCCAAGGAGCTCGAGATCCCTGCCTCGTCGGTGGGCAACATCATTCGCCATTTCAAGGTCTGGCATACGCTGGCTCCTGCGCCACGCTCTGGGCGGCCTCGCAAAACCAGCCTTCGCACCGACCGCGTGCTTACGCGCAATGTCCTGAACCGCCAAGAGAGCGCTCTCGAGGTGCGCTGTCAGCTCGAGGAAACAACCGGAATTCGCTTGTCAGCTAACACGATCTATCGCCGCATGCACGCCGTCGGCCTCCAGTATCGCAAGAAACCCTCCCGACTCAACTCGGGCAAGTCAAGAGATGATCGACGTGATGACAAAGTTGCCAATCGGCTCGATTTATAGTTGGTACTTTTGAAGAGGCATTGTATTTCTACGTGTATAGCTTGTGCGAAGGGGGGTTTTACCAGGCCATTGTCTTCACATAGAGTACGTCACGGCGACTTGAGCTGATATTTTGCATCAGTAGCATATCCATCATTTCATTGTAGCTTATAAAAATGGAGCTAGGCCATGGCCGCCATGACACAGTCGACGGGCGCCTTAGTCGTGTCGTCGGCGGGCTCGGTCTTGGCAGCAGGAGGAACGCAAGGTCGTGCCGTGCAATCGCTGACGACGATGCGCATCTCGTGCAAGACGAGCCCCATTGTCGTCTTGGCCGCGTCGATGCGGCAGACTCGCGCGTGGATTTCGCGGCAGAGAGCGCGGTGGCGCACCGTCGACCGGAGCTCGTCCAGCACAGCCGTGAACCGGCGGTGTTGGACGCGTGCGCGGAGCAGAGGTGCGAGCACAGGCCACGCAACGCTACGGAAGCGACGGACCTTGAGGTGCCAAACGACATCGAGGAACCGGCTGCGCCACACGAGATGCCGGCAGTACTCGACGACACGCTTCAGGACGCGCGCCCCGTGGGGCAGGCGCAGCACCGCCTGCAAGCGAGCGTTGCGGCTGCGCTCCTCGGCGACAAACACTTGCTCCTGCCATGAAAAGTACGTGTCACAGACGCACTTGATCGAGTCACAGCCGTCGCCGCGCACGATCGGGATGCTGCACTCGGGACAGAGCACGACGGTGTTGCGCTCCGACGCTTCGCCATCGTCGCAGATCTCGTGGTGGCCTGCTGTTTTGCAGCCAAAGCAAACGGCCTTGCCGCAGCAGGGCGTGACCACGAGCCGCGTTTGGTGCAGCTGGTACATGGCAAACGTGGCGCGACGCTCAGGGTCGTGGATGAGCCGCAGTGTGTGCATGTACACGACGTCGTAGTAGTCGGAAAACGTCGACCGAATGTAGTCGAAGAGCGTCGACGCGGGGAGCTTGTAGCGCACGTACTTGGTGCCGAGGCGGCGCAGCCACGGTACCTTCTGCCGCAGCGGCTTTGGCAAGCGTAGAGGATACATCGCCCGCGACGAATACGCTTCGACGAACGGCGTGGACTCGTCGCAGTGGGGGCAGCGGAGCTCGGACGCGGCGAAGACGCACTTGGCCGCATACTCGAGGAGGTCGGGCTGCACGTACTGCATGTACTTGTGCTTTGGCATCGGCACGAGACAGACGGGGCAGTGCACTTTGGTGAGGAGCCCGGGAATGAAGTCGGAGAGGCGGTGGTCAAAGTACGCCTCCGTGCACTCGACGCAGAGGTGGGCAGCACACACGTCACCACAGAGCTTGGTGACGCTCTCCCAGAGCGGGACGGGCTCCAAGCACACGTCGCAGCACCGGCCGGAGGTGTCAATGGTATGGTCGGTGGTCATGGCGGAACCGAGCAAGTCGCAGTGTGAGATCCGCCGACGCAAGGCCGAAAATATCGAACGAAAGGAATGTTGATCCTCGAACGATATTCGAACGCGCCGATGAGGCCATCTGGGGCTGCCACGTATGGCCGGCCCGCGAAACTGCGCACTTGATTTCTTATCCGCCCGCGTCGTCCCGCGCGACCCACACTCAGTTGGCACGACGGGAAATTTTATTCCCACGGGCCATCGCGCCCTCTACGCCACCGCAAGTTTCTGTTTCCTGCCGGTGCTTCGATCTTTTGCACCTGACCGGTCGCTCTGCTGTACAGATACCGCGCTTGCACGAGCATCGTTGGTCCATCTTCTTTCGGTCCAATGGTTAGAGAGGTGTAGTATGTTGTTCTAGGCTAATATCGTTTACGGCTTCTTGGGCTTGATGCGGTGGAAGACCGAGTTGAGAGGGCGAGCAAAGCGCAGGGTGTGGAGCGTATAGATGCTCGACGTCAAGAGCACGAGCGCGCCGGTTTGATGCG